GTTAAATAATCCTTTCGGTCTTTATTATAAGGTATTTTAGTTTTTTTTTTTTTATATTTCGTCTAAGATGCTTTTTGAATTGAAAATAAAAATTTTAGAAAAATATATTTACATGTATTGCATTCTCCTAATTATTGTAAGATATTCATAAAATTTTGTTTCGAATTAAAAAAAAATCAAAATGTCATAAATAAGGAGGGAGGGTGTATGATATTTAACCTATAATTTCTTTTTGGTAATAGGAATTTACTAGAAATGAATAAACACACTAATTCAACCGATAATTTTATTGGTGCTGAAATCTTTTATAATAATAATGATAGCTCCAGTGACGGATTTAAGAGGGGATCAGGGTGGTCGATCGCCCCGGCTGGCCGGATTTGGCCAAACTTTTTCTTAGTAGAGTATCTGTTATTTAAAATTTTTTCAGTTCGACCTTCCGTTAACGATTGAATAATCTTATTTTCGATCACGCAATTTGAAAATTCTCGTTCCGTCACTGGATAGCTATGAAATTGCAATTTTCGACCTGTCTACTCTACTCCACAGGCGTTGGAGAGGAATAATAGAGCCTAAGCTCGTAGGCTCACGCGCGTCCGTACCATGCAATCCTCTTATCTTCTTCTGCAGACGGAGCCTTTCTCCTCTTTTCTTGAAACTTGACGCGCCGGAAGGATTTGTCACCTCCACCACGGGACGCACGTGACTCAGGAGCTTATCAATTGTATAAATAGTGGAATTGTATAAATGTCTCGTTTTCGGTTTTTTTTTTTTTTTTTTCACTTCAATTTAAACGATGCTAATCAATTGTAGTTGTCAAAGCATTTCAAAAAAAATTTACTATAAATTTCTGTTACTGATATAACTTGAAGCCATCACATATTGACAAGTATAACACCATTACTCTTGTAATAGGCCATTATAAACATACAAAAAGTCAACTCCGCCTTTTTTTTTTCATGGTAACTGAGTGTATATATGGTTTTTCTATTTCAATATGTAAGTCGGTTTACATTTTGTATGTAAGCTAACAATACAATTATTCAATAATTAATTTGTATATTAATTATTTTTTAGGTTATCAAGTTAATATATTAGAATGATAAATAAGATTAATTAAAAAAATTATTATTTATTGAGGATAAACTTATAAAACTAAATACTAATTTGTCCTGAAATTCTAAAATGATCTTGATATTTCTTCGAACGGAAAACCTACTTCTGGAAATGGAGGGAATATAATGCATAGTACCTTAGGAATATAATTATTCCGATATATTCACATTTATACATAATTGTATCAATCACCATCAAAATCCTATTGGTGATTGATTAATAGTTGTGAAACTGGTGATCGTGTTAAGGGAAACAAACCATGTGCATGGGGGAATTAGAGGAGGGTCCATTTGTGGAGTCCTTACTTAGGTGGTTCATAGATTTTAATATCACACCAATGTTAACATCTTAAAAAGATGCCTTTCTTAATCAACTAAAGCTTTTGTTCATGGAATAGTTTTTATCAAATTTAATTATGACCATGGTTCAAATTTTGGTTTTAACACAGAACGGTAGTTACAATAGTATTCAAGAAAGAATGAAATAGATTTACGCATGTGAAAAAAGAGATTCATCGACGTAATGATCTTGAATATATATATATATATATATATATATATATATGTATTTTGTTTCTATGAAAAAAATCAGATCCTCCGTTTTTCATTTGCATTCAACCCTGAAGGCTGGACAGGATTGAGGATTCCATCTCACCCCGATGCATAAAAATCAAATAATTTATTCACTCACATGTCCTCCAAATTAAGAAAGTCAAGTCTCCACGTTACAAAACTCACAACTTTGATATCTTTGACCTGCAAATCCATGGCTATCAAAGTGTGAACGTACTCAGACGACTAAAAACTACTAATTATATTTGTAATAATCGAACTAGATTGATTGTGCTTGCGTAAAATATGTTATCCTACATCTTCATAGAATGGAAATGATGGCACGAACTAATACATATACTCATGTTTTCCTTTACCTTTTTCTTCTTTGGAACGTATACGATGAAGAAGAATAATGAAGTAGGAAAAAAAAAGATAAATTAAAGAGATATTATTTTTAATTAATTCATAATTCAGTTCACAAAAATCTTTACGTGGGTTTGGTGTTTGATGGCTCGTTGGTAGACTGGAGCAATATTGTTACAATGGCTAAAAACATTGCAATCAAAATCCTAACTTTATACTCCTTTTATCCCAAAATTATTATTCTTGTACGGAAACTGAAATCTCAAACTGGATAATAATTTTTGAAAGAATGGAGTAATTCTTATGTCTATAGTATCTTTGTTTTTAACAAATTTAGCTCATAGATTTTCAGAAATTTTTAGTAGGTTTCAGGTTCTCACAATATTTGCACGCACACAAACAAGATAAGGATGAAGTAGAGAGTGTGAATAACGCGAGAGGGATGAGAGTGGGTACAGTAGTAATATATATATATATATATAGTAGTATTAGTGATGCGGGTCACGTGGATATGCATCTTGTTGCATGCAGCCCACCCACTCGGGGCCTCTGGGATTAAAAGATGAGTGAGAAGAAAAAGAAAAACCACTGGCGGATTTTGCATTTTCTTTTTTACCTGAAGATGTCGTACATTTTGTTCAATTTGGCGATTAACCTTTTCCAAAATGGTGGAAAGATAATCAAAGATTAGAGAATTGATAACATTTATTAATCAGTATTATGGTATCTAGAGTCATGTTTATAAATAAATATATGGCGTATTTCATTACTATCCAAACATTAGTGTGTCGTGATTCGAATCCAAACTAAGTTAATAAGGCATCCATCATAATCCCATTACCCTCGATGTAGTCTTTCTCATCAAAATAAGTCCAATGAACGTCCTCCCATGCAGTTAATTTTTTATTTTTTATTGTAATTTTTGCTCTATACATAAATATGGCGTTTGTTTGTAGTGGTATTTTAATGTTAGAAAATGATGTTTTGCATTCATTAGTAGGTGATGATGATAATAATAATAACGAAAACTGAGAAACTTGAATGAATATGTATTTAAAGTAGTCAGAAAATAATTTTAAATTTAAAGTTACAAAAATTTAGATTATGTTTACGTGACCAGCATTCATAATAACTTTATGATTATTTTATTTTCGCTATTGTCTCTTGCAAATTAAATCCATTTTAAAAGAATCGTCTACTTAAAATTTAACGTTCCTTCTATGTTCCAAAATAATAAAAATTCTGTTCAAGATAGCGATTAGGGAGGAAGAGGTCACTCTGTTCAAGAGTTCACATTTTGTTTTTTTGAAGTGGTAATTCACATTATGTGGTTTATTACTGTAGTTATTTTTTTCTATTTCGTAATTTAAATATAATTTCAATAATATCTTCAATTATAGAAAATAAGTTATATTTATTGAATAAAAAAATGATTGTTTCTCAAGACACATGACCTTGTTTTCTGTGGTCCTTGGTGGTTTTTTAATATTTGATTATTAACTTCATCTTTTCCATACATCTTTTTATATATGTGACGAAAAAACACACAGGAAAGACTTTATAACGAACCAAATCGAGAGTCAACTGGCAATAAATTTTTAAGAGTATATACATGGTCTTTTCCTTCATATCCATCATCCATGGAATGATATTGTTCGATTTGACACTTAAGTTTTTCTTAAGATTCCGTCTCCATCAAAACTCAATTACCTTATTAAGTCGTTAGATTATGTTCCAAGCATTTAGAACACCTCAAAACCTTGTACACACAAGTTAAAATGAGTAAAAAAAGGAAAAAAAAAACAAATATCAAAAGTCTAATCAAAACGAGAAATGCATGTTTGTTCATCATGCAATAGTATTACACTATTTACTATCGGTGTAGTACCAATACGTGATATAATAGTGCCTTTAATTTCTATGGGCAACTTCTATTACCCTTGTCGTACTTTACGATATTTATGGCTTACGACTTTTTAGCCTTTAGGTGCTCCAAGTTGAGTGTGCCAAAACCAAAATTTTTTAAAAATAAATTGGCCTTTTTTGGTTACTAGTCTTGTGATTTAGACAGAAACACCCTTAAAAAAAAAAAAAAAAGATAGAAACATTATATACGGGGTACGCTACCCCACGTCATGTTCAACCCAATGTGAAACATCTAACGGTGAATTACGGAGCCATTGTAATCCTCCCAAACTTGTAGTCACTCGCCAGAATTTGGCCGGAATCAGCCGGCCGGTCGCGGCAGACGGCAATGGCAGCGGGCGGTCCGGTGACAGTGGGTGGAATGGAGGTGATCCGGTAGTGGTTGATGAAAATTGTGTAAAAGTAATTTTTGGAATATTTTTTTAAAAGGTAAATTAAAAAATTGTTTAGACAGTATTGAGATTTATGTTTAACAGATATTTTAAGAGGTAAAATGAGACAAAATTGTAAAATAAGTGTTAGGCAAACAAGCCCTAAAGATCCCAAATAATCTGCTATAACATTCACCTCCCTATAACATTCACCTCTCTAAACTCATTCCGGCCATTTTAAACATTAGATTTTTAGATGTTAAACAATCAATATATATATTGATATTTATTTTATTTTTTTTTGAAAAGGTTTGATTTGAACAATTAATTTCGTAGGTTTGAATTGAAATTCTTTTACGAACAATGAACTATTTAAAACGGGACGGGAAAAAGTACACTATTGTTGTCATCAACTTATCATCATCATAGGCTTTGTTTGTTTCATTTTTTTGTTGGTTTTTTCAGAATTTAATATTAATAATTATCCCATCCCAATATATATTTTTACATTTTTAATACACTTTTTTATATTCTCAATACAAAAAACAGCTAAAAACACACGCTAAAAAAAGGAAACAAACATACCCATAATAATTACATTATGTAATACCTTGTCACACATATAAGTACTTCTCTTCCCTTCCCTACATTTGTCTCCTCTTCCTCACTCTTTTTCTTTTTCTTCATTACAGTTATTAAGTTCATCTCTTTTATTTATGCATTAAAACTTTTCCCATTCTCAGACATCAAAAAAACACCTAAAAACTACAACCGCTCTGTGTGTTGTTGCTATCCTTTATAGGTCTGCTTCAGACTTAACTATACGTAACACCTATACTCTATACTATCAGATTTCAGTACTACTGCTTATATAGTAGTGTAAGTGGAAATGTTTCTACTACATTCTGCTCTTTAATAAAAATGGTCCTTTCTTCAAGACACAAATACAGGAGGGAGAGCTGCATCTTCTCTTCTTGTTGTGTCTGTTAGTGCTTTCCTGATAAAAGAAGGCAAAAAAATGAGCCAGTGTTTCCATTTCTATTGTCTGGGCACTTTTTAGCTAATAAGTTTTTTCTGCACTTTTTGGTTTTTGCTTATTCCTCTGTTCTGGGGGGCTGTCTGTCTTATGGATTTTGGGCTAATTAGTTTGGACAATGGGGGGTTAATGTGTTCTGGGACTACCACAACAACAACAACAACAACGTTTTCTGCTACTTCTGATGCCGCTGAGGCTGCTAAAAGCAAGCTGTACGGATCTGGTTTTCTCAAGCAGGAAAGGTCTTGGACTGGTACTGAAGATGACCTGAGGGACTTAAAAGTTGGGAGGATTAGTGCTTCTTCTTCAGGTGGTGATGATTTTTCGGTTTCCAACAAACCAATGCTTAGAAATACTCCTTTAATGAGATCTAATAGTATTGGTACTAATAGTAATAGTTTCCTCCCTGAAGGCCAACAGATGCTCAGCTTCTCTTCTCCCAATTCTCAGACTGTGACATTACCTTATTATCACCCCTCTTCAATTGCTTATTCCAGAAATGTTGCAGGTAGGTTTGTACATGAAAAAAAAAAAATTCCATCTTTGTTACGCTGTCTTTACTGATGGAGCATCAAAAAGTTGATGTGGGTTGCTGCCTATACTTTGTCTCATTTTTTGGTGGAGTGAGTATTAATGGGGGAAACCTGAGCATTTTTGCACGAGTCATGAAGTCAGCTTTAAAAGCTAAAACTAACTAATTTTTGCTATTTTTCTATTAATGGGGTCACCAGTTTAGCTTATTTCTTATCTGGGTTTAATCAATCAATCCCAGTAAGCACTATCTCTAGAGTCTTCCATGCATGTTTTGGGTAAGATGGGATGGTGTTTATTCATTATTGTGATGGTAATATGGAGTCGGGTACTGTGTAGCAGGACAGGGAGTGGAGGAAATATAGGAGAAACAGATGATCCATCTCTTCATTTATGAGTCCTTTTTTTGGATCGAAAGGTGTATCTTTTTTCATGGTTTTGATCTTTAATTTGTTTCTTACCCTTTCTGCTAAGTTTTCATACTTTTTCCGTGGGACTGGATATTCGTGACTCTTTTGTCGTCCCCCAAAATGTTGAAAACAGAGTTGTTTTCAGACAGTATTTTTTTTCTCCCTTTCTCAGATACTTTGTGTCTACAGTTTTTGTTGGTCTATTGGAATGTTTTAAAACTTTCTGAAGAGTATTTTCTCTCTGTGTTTTGTTTTGTTACCTGATCCATTCTTTTTTCCTTCTCGTTTCAGGTTTGAATGCTGCAAGTATGCATGGAGTATTGTCTGGAATCAGAGGACCATTCACTCCTTCTCAGTGGATGGAGCTTGAACACCAAGCCTTGATCTACAAGTACATCAATGCCAATGTGCCCATTCCTTCTTATCTCCTCACTCCAATCCGAAAAGCTCTTGATTGTGCCGGTTTCACAAGCTTTGCCGGCCTCAGACCCAATGCTTGTAGGTTCCTTTTCTTTTCCCTTTCTCTCTTTTACCTCAATTGAAAAAAGCTTAGAAAAATCATTGGCTGTAAGCAAGATTGCTTATTGTTTTTTGATTCTCATTGGTGATTTTTGAATTTTGTTTTGCAGTTGGATGGGGTGCTTTCCATCTGGGATTTTCGAATAGTAATGATCCTGAGCCGGGAAGGTGCCGGCGGACTGACGGCAAGAAATGGCGGTGCTCTAGAGATGCAGTTGCAGACCAGAAGTACTGTGAGCGGCATATGAACAGAGGCCGCCACCGTTCAAGAAAGCCTGTGGAAGGCCAAACTGGCCATTCTGTTGCAGGAATCACTAACGCGGCCAAGCTGATGCCTAATTCCTCTGCATCGGCTGCTGCGGTGGTTCCCGGAGGCCTTACACCTCACCATCAGCTCAACAACCCTCAGGCTGGTGCCACTAATACTCAGTGTGCTACATCTCCGCATCTCGACAGGTCCGTAGTTGTTGCTCTATCCAAAAGTACAATGCGTTTTACCAATGTCTGGAACCAAAAACTATGAGAAATGGTCCTCTGATAAGTTTCTCTTTTTGATACTGAGGCTTAGTTTTGGTTTCAGTCATGTAGTAGTTTGATTAAGATTTTGATTTTTGTAGAAGAAACCAAGTTTTGCTTCACAATCTCTTCCAATGTTGATGCAAAGGGTTTCGATTTTTTGATTTACTCGTTACATTTGCTTATGATCAGGAATTTTCTGGGTAAGGATAATTCTGGCGGAAGGTTTCAAGATACGACCACTCTGCCCATCATATCTTCTTCGAGCATAAACTTGAAAGAAAGCCAATATCCTATCTCGAAACCGCATGAGGCATATGTAGATTCTTCTCGTGGCGAATTTGGACAAGTTTGCTCTGATTCTCTACTAAATCCGTTGGACAGAAGCTCTTCACTTGTTAACTGCAGTAACTATGGAACTTCTGAAGATGTTAATGATCAAGATAACAAGACAAATTCTGGCCTCCGGCAATTTATGGATGACTGGCCTAATAACCGGACTGAACGGTCAGCTGTTTCGTGGCCTGACATTGATATGCACTCAGATAACAGGACTCAGCTTTCCATTTCCATATCTATGGCTGGTTCGGACTTCATGTCCTCTACATCATCTCCCACCAATGAGAAAGTCACTGCTTCCCCACTAAGCTTATCGCGGGAACTTGAGGCTACACATATGGGGTTAGGAGTTGGTACCATTGTCAATGAACGCTCGCAAAGACAAGCAAATTGGATTCCTATCTCGTGGGAATCATCCATGGGAGGTCCTCTCGCTGAGGTTTTGCATAGCACGAACAACAACACGAATGACAGCCGAAGCTCCTCTGCTCTAAACCTCATGACTGAGGGTTGGGAAGGGAGCCCTCAGTTAGCGTCATCTCCTACCGGGGTTCTGCAGAAGTCCACATTCATGTCCCGGTCTAACAGCAGCAACGGCAGCAGCCCGAGGGCTGTGACGAGCAAGGCGCATGAAGGAGTCAGCCTCTGCAGTGGCGTCTTCGGGCCAACCTTAATGAATCCAGCATTGCCTGCACTGTAACCTGAACCGGAGTCACTGAACCATGATGTTTGAAGTTGTATCCCTGTAGCGAGTTTTAGCACAAAACTGCTGACAAACACGAACACCAGATCGATTAACATTCCAGTTGGGAATTTCTTTAATTTGTTTGAAGTCTTGTGTAATCCCTTTTTATTATCCTTCAGGGGCATAGATTTACCAGTAGAATCCGGCTAATTTTTATTAAGGATTTGACATTTTGCCCCATTTTCAAGTGATGATGATGATTGTGTAACCGTAGGTGTGTATCAATCAGACTATATCAGTATGACATGGAATTCTCTGTTATTGTCCATCAACATGTGATCTTGTGGTTTTTAGGGTCGTTTTTGTCAACCATTTTCCTTCCTTTCTAAGTTGGTAGGAAGCATGTTGGTTGTTGGGTTGCTATAATTGCTAAGGCACCAGTTAAGATGATGTTGATTGTGGGATATGATTTTTATGTTTTAACAGCTGCTATTACAGAGGACATAAACTGGAAAGCTTTCCGGTAAAATCCTACTTGACCCCCACAAGAATTTGTTTGTGTATAGAAAGAAAAGAGAAGGCTTTAAGAATCCCTTTAACATTGTGGTCCGAATTCAGCCTTTAGTGGTCCATTCCATCAATTTGAGTGGAGATTCTGAAAATGCTGTGGCATCCGAGGAGGAGAAGAAGAAGAAGATTTGTATCCAAATATTGCAGAAATTTGAGTCTATCAGGAAGAATTTTGCAGCTTCATGTAGGAAGAACCTGCAAAAAATTTCTTCCTAAGATCAGGGTAAAAATCTTTCAAGACAACTACAGATATTCACATTACTCAAAAAAGTAGCTGCCGTTGATGAATTAGTGCAACCAAGTTAGAAATGCAATAAGTTCGATGAATCCCTGAGAAGGATTTGGCTCGGTCGGGGCCCAGGAATTGATAGTTACAGCTTTGGCTAGACTTGTCGGTCATCGCAAATGTGCAGAAATAACAAAAATCTCATTTGATGACAGGGCTCCTCAACTTGATAGAGCAGTACAAATTGCTACTGTTTGCTTTAAATCATATAGGAGTATTGTTTTATGAAGTCTGGAGACGTCTTTCACATTGAATTTAAAGGTTGTAACCAGAAAAGCAGCATATTGAACCATCAGAATTCCAAGTGTTCGAAGAGACATTAGCTTACGGGAATTACTGGTGTTGATGGGATTGGGAGCGTCCTTCTGTATGGGTCTTAAATAAGCAAACAGGAAGTCGCCATCAACATTTTGCTAGTTGTTGCTAGTGAGGCCCATTTCACTATTGCTGCTGTCTTCCAGCATTAAGGCTTAAGAGAGTTGTTCAAACCAGAAATTTTCAATAACTCAACGTGTTCATTAATTTTTTTTTGATTCCAATCTCCCATAGTGTCCAAGTGTCCAGTTCAACGGAAGACCATTCATTTTACATTGATTTTTTAAATTTGAACTTTAACAGTTCTTGTTTCTACTGTTCAAGTTGTTTTCTGTACTCCATAGTGATATTCCAGTCACTTTGTACGCTAGAGATCTCATCTTTGAAGGACCCCTTTTCAGTGTTCATCAAGATATGATCATCTACACACCAGTGACATGATTTTTAAATTCAAAGTTCAAATACAGAGTAGCTTACAAGGAAATGTACTTGAAGTAATGCAGTCACGACTTAAATTCTGAAAGATGAAGAATCTTCAAAATGAATTTTATTCATTAATCCAGAAATATTGAGCTCCATTTTCAACAGATTCTGACAAAGACTTCAAGTAGCAGTCACTGCAACATTTTAACTACTGAATTCAATTAATTAGATTAACTTAATGCAAACCTTTTTTTTTTTGAAAGTGTACCTTTTCTAATTCAACATGCAAGTCTAACTAACCAATTCCACAGTAAGATTTGTGTGTCCTCAGTTCCGCTGTGCTTGCAAACAGGTCCACAGCTCATGCCAGTAGTCATCATCCTTCTATGTAGTAACCAATAAAATGATTCTTGCAGAAACAATTTAAATACCAAGAATCCCCGATGTGTGGGATGAATGAGAGGCCACAATTACATCCTCAAATAAAAGAAAACAAAATTAGGTGGGCAACTTAAGTGTTTCCTCCGATCCTTTCTAAGTTAATTACACCAATCGATAGGACACCAAGGGAATAAAATTGGCGCATCTCTGGCACCATCAGATTGTAGTTCAAAAGATTAATGCAAGAAACAATAAGCAACAAATCACCATGTCCCATTGTTCGATAGATTAGCATTCTAGAGTTCTGGCTGACAACTTATGATTAAGAATTTCAATCCACTATTCTCTTCTAAAAAATCTATATAGGTGAAGGAGGAAATGTCTTCCAGTAATCACCATGGCCATTCAATTAATGCACTTCTGAGATCATTCAAAACTTGCTCTACTAAATATCCCTCAAAAAATGTTGAAGATATTCTTTTTGTATAAAGTTCTACCAACAAAACCAAAGCAAAAAAAAGAGATGTCAACCATTAACATTGAAGCATAACTCCATTAGGTAATTGGAGAAAGCTCAAGCAGAATGGAGTATATAAACATTTGCTTTACGCACAGATAAAATCTTGGGAATCATTATAAACTAAATTCCAAAGAAGAACTTTGTGCGGGGAGCAACTGCAATCAACTATGTTGATGCAAAAGGAATCAAACACAAAAAGATTTTCGTAACCCACAACCCAGACATAAACAAATTTGAGCATATCTGAATGAAATTGCAAACAAGTACTCAAGCAAGCTCCGGAATCAAGTTGTTTTCTGTTGCTAGAGGCATTGCAAAAGGGAATCAAAGCTCTTGAAGGCAGTATATGTGTAAATTTCTTTATTAACTCCATGATTCATATCAAATTACATTAAATTTACTTCATATTGTGGACTAGAAAGCCAAAATAAGGGCCTATTATATTCCTACTTCAACTCTAGAATAGCAAATATGAACTGTACAACGATGTAGTCCAGGACATATTCTGGAATATTAAGCAAATTGGAATAAAATAGGATAACAAACTTACCACTGAAATCATGATTGTTATCATTAAGGAGATTAGCAATTATGCAAGAAAATTATCTAGGGAATATTAGTTGCAGTCATGCTACTTAAGGCCACACACCTAGTTGCTATAATCAACCATTCTAACAGATTTTAGGCATAAAAATTCTACTGCTCGCTTCAACTTTATATCCCAAAGATACAGAAACATAACTATACAACAACAACAACAGCAGCAGGAAAATACCCAGTCTGGTGAAACATAACCACAGCTTCACAGAAATGATTCAGTATCAGGAGAAACAAGTCAGCAATGGAAAAGCAATCTACATTCACAAGGAGATGCGAAAATTAACTACTAAAAACCATTACTAAGGGACCTAAAGGTAAAGATTCATAACATTTATATGGATGAAGAATGTGGAGGTGTGCGTAACCCAGATTTCTAGAACAATTACTTTTGACAAACGCGGGCTTTAAACACCACCAATTCCAATTTCAGGAGAAGCCAATCACACAGCAAAAATTGTACATAATGCCATGAGAATCACTATGGAGCGAGCTCCTAATATTCGAGCTAAAAAGAAATTTTCAGCAACACACGATACAATAAAATCAGTCCACAACAATAACCAGACAATAAACATACGAAAAAAAGGAATAAATCAGAAAACAAGAATGGTGGCCATAGTTACCAGTGACCAGAAGGTCTCATTGCCACCCAAACAGAAAACCACACTCTTCACTACATGAACGACGAGTCAAGTTTATAAGTGACAATGGCAAATGCAAAAACAACAGTAAATGGGTTCCAAACAAACTCAACAATAGTAAATTAATCATAATGCTCTGCCTAAATTTCTAAATAAAAAGCTCAAGAAAAGCACAAAGGACGAACCAAAAGCAGAAAAGATTGAGGGGAGTGCTCATATTCTATGGGTGTATAAAAGGGTCTGTCACGCCATGGCAATAGCATTCAGAACGAGGAATTGTTTTATAATCACTGCACCCCTCTACTTCAATCATAACTTTAAATCAACCAAAACCGTAAATCGGCCAAACAAACATACCAAAACAACTGAAATTGACAGAAAGTTATGGATGAAACTTGAAAATCCAACACAATGCACAACGGATTATGAAAGAAAAAAATGAATCTTGAGAATAAAATTGGAAACGCCGTTAGCCAGATCGAAAAGGGTTAGCTTGGATTGGCAGAAAAGATCGGAATCGGAAGGGAATGGGATGAACTAAGCGGCAATATAACAAGAGGTACTCTTATACTAGAAGAGAGGGAAGGAGGCAGCCAGGCAGGGGAGGCTTGGAACCCTAACTGATTTAAAAGGCCTTTTTTTACTCTTCTTTTCTTGGCGGGTTTTACACACAGCGATTATCGTGTGAAATTTGGGCCTCCCTTTTATGTTGGGCTTTTTGTATCTCAATGTCGTAATTGTTTCTTCTTCTTTTTTTTTTTTTCCCCTTACATTTTTGTTCAATAATTTTATTAATAAAGTTATAAAATACTAGTGCAATTTTATTTACTTTTTTGTTAACAAAGGTTAGAAAATAGTTTTTTTTTTGGTTTTCATTTTCTTGAAAAAAATTTCAGCCGCTTAGAGATGTAGGTTCAGAGATTATATGCGACTGCGGTTACAGCATCGTCAACGAAATATATATATATATATATATATATATTTGGTAAATTTTGAAAAAAAAAATTGTCAATCTCCAAAAATAGTTGTAAAATAGTTTTTAAATGAAATAATGTCATTAATGAGAATATTTTATTCATTCTCGATGTGATTAATCACAATTATTTTGTGTAGAATGTGAGGATAGATTTTCTTGTTCGTATGTTTAATAAAACTTAATTGGAGTCTCAAGTTTAAAGACTGAACTGAATAAATTAAATTTGCATTGAACACCCCTATAAATGATAAGACTAGATCCATAAATGGTCCCTTACAAGTTGCAAAAAGTAAATTTTAACCAATTACATTAACATTTATCTCCAATGATCCTCTACATCTTAGTTTTCTTGTTTTCTTAATTTGGGTCCGAAGTCACAGCTCGGATGGCATTTCTTATGGCAGTATTGGTTTTGTGTTGTGCGTGTTTGTGCAAAACAATACTATATTAATATGGTACGATCAATTGGATTCTTATGTGTCAGAGAGGAATTTAGTTTAAAAAAGATAAGCATTTAAAAAGGATACGTATAGAATTTTATTTTTATTCAAAATCTCAAAGACTATAAATTTCAAGGATATAGATGGATAAACGGGGAAGAGATGTCGGTCCTAATCATAAACGTGACGCGAGATTTCACAACGGAGTTTTTCTATCAATTTTTATCTTACAAACCATTTAAAATATTATTTGAAGCAAGCAAAAATAGCACCCAAAGAGAGAGAGAGAGAGTTCAACTATTGGGCAAGTTAACTCCAGCTTCGTCTTCTTGCATTTCCTAATTCCTAAGACGTAACTTTAAGGATTTTTTTTTTCCCAACAAGCACTCGGTTTTTATTGATATTTTTGGTAGTTATGAGGCCAGATTTGGTTTCTACTTCACTACGACTACTGATTTTTCCTTCCATTTCTCCATCGGGTGTGCCACACACACACACACACACTAAAAAAAGAAGAAACGGCGGATAACAAAACATGATGCAATTTCAGTTGAATAGGCAAACGGCTGATTCAGTTCAGATTCCAATTCAGGGAAACTTCTAAAACCAACTAATAAAACAGCCTATAACAATATTATACTATTACAAAACTCCAATTATTCTTGGCACTTGAAAGGAAGAAAAATGTGTACAAACTACGTTACTATTACATTATGGAAATTAGTATTTTATATTGTACTAGTATCATGTTTTAAGCCAAATTAGATACGTATTACTCTACTTGATCGGTTATTCAAACGTATTATTTCACTTAAGAAAGCCGTGACTAACGATAGAATGGTATATAATAGTATGTCGTATAATTCATGTCTTTGCTCGCTGTAGATTAATTAACATGTGAGAGACTATTGGTTCTTCAAATCAGGACTTAAACTCTGAAACAAACCAAATTCAACTCCATTATTCATCACAAAAGCTACTCTTCCATCCTGCATGCCGCCCTAAGGCAGTAATTAATTCAAGTAAAAGCCACCGTTCTAATACATTATGTCATTAATTAATTATTATCTACTTGATAAAAAGGAATTACTTTTTCCAAGTCGAACTATGTTAACGTACAAATCGATACAAAACCACGAAAAAGAATCAAACCAATCAGGATGTTTTCCCAATATTTCTTTGTATATATTCTTTTTCAAATAATAACGTGTTAGGCGTACAAAAATGTGTACGCAATTGCAGTTGTTATCCACCACTTTCTTTTTGCTTTCGCAAAATCAAATAATTTTTTTTTTCAATATTTAAAAAAAATTCATACAGAATTTATGTTTTTCGATAAGACGGCAAAGCCTGGTCTCCTAGTGAAATGATATTTTCTACACACGCGCAAGTTAATTTGAAGATCAGAATCTGCACAACCAGTTTAATTCTGTCCATAAAGTTTGATCATATTCTTTTAATACTTCTACTAATTCTTGTTTTCCCTTTCATTTTCTCCACCAAATACGAACAAACTAATAAACGGCTAGGATGAAAAAGCATGATGCAGTTTCAGTTGGAATTTGCAAATGGATGATTCAAGCTCATTTTCTAATTAAGGGAAACTTCTAAACCAACCAATAAAGCAAGCAACCTAACAAATTATATCAACAATTGTATTCAGTCTTGTTAATGCATATCCCTCTTAATATCTTGTGCCATTTAATTAGTTTAATATCTCATTTGATTAAAAAAAAAGGGGAATACTTTATTATGTTCAGCTTAATTATCCATGCATAAAATGTGCCATTTATAATGTTCTTCAATGGGGAACTAAAATTTGTTAGCCATTTAAGTTTAATAAATGTGTGTATGATTGTATATGTGGATCCACATATATATTACACGATTTATTGGAGATTTTTTTTTTTTATCATAAAAATCTCTATCATCACACGATCAATTAAGTCACAAACCTTGGATTGGACCTATTAAATACCGAAAATAACAAATGTTCAACACGCAAAATATGTCTCTATACGGCATTGTTATAATCAGCGTGAACTCAGTCAACAAACCATTAGAGGGAGACCCCCTTGTCAATTGTCATCTTACTTCTTTGCTTACCTGCCCCTATTTCCTTTGCTTTACTTTTCCACTCTATTCTTATATATATTCTTCTAGTCTTGTTTATGTATATTGACTTGCAAGAAAACAAACCCATCTCTTTTTTTGTCCCATATTGTGACATTAACCCATGATTTTCATCAATCATCATCTTTATAAAATAAAAAAGGAAATTGGTTAATTTTGTTTTGAAAAAAGCTACTCTATAACCCACACCCCCACACCACCACCCCTTTCTTCACGTTTTATATGCATGACATGATAAGGGGAAATTTCAGTTAAAAAGCGTAGAGTTCATGATCGAACATCCCTTTATAAATTCGTAGTTTATATTAATTTTTTGTAGTCATATTTGTTTGGAAGTTGGAACCCTTTTTGGCTTCTTTTTCTCTTTTGCAAAGGGGAAGCATGAACAGCAATAAGGTTCACTCAAAGAGAACTGTCCTGCCTTTTTCTTGGGAGAGCAAACCTGGGGTGAGCAAGGGTAGAGATGATGAGGAGCATAAGCAGCATATCCGAGGCGGGCGCGACGGCGATGAGTTTCCGGCGATAAAGTTGCCACCTCCGCCGTGTGCCGAGGACAAATCCAAGGCCTCAAACTCTACTAAGTCATCTGAACTTGATTCTACTAAAATCCCTCCTCCGCCGTGTCCGAATTTCCAGCATCCATTGAAGAGTAATTCTCTCAGGAGAAGCTTCAGAAAGAATGATGATCCATTCCTGATAGCATATATAGAGTGTACAAAGAGTACTTCTAGGGATGATCTTTACAAAAGGCCATCATCAACACCAAGCCATGGAAGTAGAAAAGGTGGGGGTGAATTATTTGGGATTAGGAAGAATTTGTCTATTTTCTCTTGTAAGCATTCAAGTAATGTAATGGAAAGTAGCATTGTTAGGGTGTCCCAACTTCCTGCTTCCAAATCCCAGAGATGAATTTAAAAGATACTGGGAATCATGAAGATTTATCGACCAACCATTTGTTTATTACTAGATTGAATTTGAATGAAATTTATTTCTTAGATGGCATCCCATTTTTGTTTTTGTTTTGGCTGGAAGATTTCACGGTTGATCAAATTAAATAGGTGAAGGTGTTTTTGTGCATTATCTCATAATTAGTCTTTGACTGTTATAGGTAATTATCCCGTGCCAATTGTAAAATCGTAAACATTATATTGGTGGAATCCCGAAAAAGGTTAAAACTCTCGCGGATTTCGAAAAGGGAAGAAATAAAAACGGCTCCATGTTATATACGCTAGGTGAGGTGAGAATCGGACTTGTGATTTCTTAAAACATGCAGTTAGATTAAACTAGTGGTTCTAAATATGCTTTCCACTTGAGCTACAATTCGTTCCAAAACAAGAAGACAAAAGGTTAAGAGAAAATCATATCGGTCGAATGTACAATAGCCCAAAGTTTGTGTTTCGTCCACCTAGTAGTAGTTAGAATATGTTCTGTCTCAAAATTATTGTTCAATTTGAGATTTCACTTTTACAATTTGAACTAAAAATAAAAACTCAAACTGGACAATAATTATAAAACAGAGAGTACATGATATCTTCATAGTTCATACTAGGACCAGGGTTCCAGGCTCTAAGATTTGCAAGCAGAATATCTAAAATTTTGTTTTCTTTATGATACATCATGTCATCACGGAGTAAAACAACTACTATTCTCTATATTTAGCTTTGGAACTGAAACCATTTCGTCATCTGTAACTGTAACTGAAACCGATGCTCTGTAATTGGCTTCTCAATACTTGACAGTAGCTAAAAATAACAAAAACCATGATAACATAATTGTCACTCTTTCACTCTCGATTAAAGAAAATGAAATTTAAATACATGCCTATAAAAAACCTATTATATTATTTATTGTACGGCTCTGCAGCTACAAAATGGGCTTCTAAACCCTTACTACTGCTATATCATAATGGGTTTTCGTGCAGCTTAAGCCCAAAAGAATGTCATTTACAAGCCATATTAAGCAGGAAAAACACCAGAGGGGAGAAGAAGGCAAACTGCTATTCAACATATCTCCTGGATAGCAGAAGTGAAAAATTACAACATCTGATAAAAGGATTACAACATTCCATTTTTTTTGTACTGTAGTCAGAGTAGATCTACAAAACTTCCAAGGTAGAGCAAAGTTTTTATTGGATCTCTCCATCTTCTCCTACTTCACCATCTTCAAGCTCATCGATCCCGCCACTTCTGCGAGATCCATCCCTATGATCTCTTTTATGTTTTTTATGCTTACTTTCGCTATCAGATTCAGGTGAATGATGTCCATGCTGCTAAAAACAAATAAGATCAGTAAAATAGGTAAGTAACTCTTATGGCTGCAATTGACGTAAGAAGAATACAGCGTATCAAAGACGCACCTTCCTCGACTTTTTACGGTCACTGCCGTGTCGACGAGACTTCTTGGTCTCCTCTTTCTCGTCCTTATCAGAACTTGCATGGTCACTACTATGTCGACGAGACTTCTCTTTGTCGTCTTTGTCAGAGTTCCGTACAAACACAATGCTTCCTTTAAGGAGATTAATTTTAACTGCTTCATCACTTGCATCATGATGCCGCCTACGATGTTTTCTCTCCTTATCTTTCTCCCTTTTCTTCTCCTCTTTGTGGTCCTGGTCATCTATATCATCCATATTCGAGCTATCTGCATCATCTTTCTTTGATCTTTCTTTCCCCTTCTCCTTTTCCTTTTCAGAATCTCTGTCTTTCTCTTTCTCCTTCTCCCTCCTCTCTTTTTCTTTCTTCTTTTCTTTCTCTTCTCGATCTTTTTCCTTTTTGGACTGAAGAAGAGGAAATATTAAAAAATAACTCAAAGAAATGAGGCTTTTATTTCAAAGTCAGAAAGCAAGGCTTCCAACAGAAGCACACCCACATTTATTATCAATTTCAGACATACTTCAGTTTGAAATTTTATTTCAATGTTAACCTAAAATAAACTTCAAAAAGAAAAAAATCAGGTTACAAAAGATACGCATTGCCAGAGAATGGAAATGACATCCAACAACAGAGGATTGTTCACCTTTTCTTCCTCTCGCTTACGTTCCTTGTCCTTTGATTTCTCCAGCAAGCGTGTAACATAATCCTCAAAGATTTCCTTGCAGATGCTCTCTTCTCCAATGGATCTAAGAGGAAGTGCAATCAAACAATTCCAGCAATTAGTCCAGAAACTAAAATGGAAAATAACAGTACAGAATAACTGTGCATAATGGAGGAGGAAGGCATACTTATACTCAGAGCTGGCTTCAACTAATTCTCTTGCTTCCTCCCAATCAGACGTAGTAGTTATCTCCTGACAGACAAAAGTTAAGAGGCAATTGAGATGATGCTCCTAATACACAAATGACTGCTTTCCTGATATACTTCACGAAAAACATGATGACTGCTTTTGTTTGACATTTCACAAACCTTAAAACTGCTCAGCAGATCAGTGAAGTCTTTTGCAAGGCGTTGACGCTTTTTAGCTTCTTTTTCCTCTTTATCTTTTGCCCTCTCAAGTAGATCCTGAAATGCAAGCTGCAAATAGGAGGAAATTTTTTCAATATTTGAATTCATTAACTTAATAGTCTATGAGAAACCTTGTGTGCTTTTGACTTAAAAAATTAACTGAAGAGGGCAACATTTCAAGGAGACAGGTAACAGAGAATCTCATTTAACTATTAAGGAAATGATGTCTTCGGATAAGTTTTCTTCTATAGGACAAAAGAGACAGAATTCAGATTATGAAAACAAAGAGGAGCTACTGTCATCCAAATGGGCAAATAAGAATGTATACCTGTAAATTAATATCTGATACTCCTAATGAGCCGATATTATCCTTAATAGCAGCCTTAAAGTCTTCAAAGCTCCATGTTGGGTTGACAATGATCTGTGCGTGGAAACATGGAAGCAGTTCAACAACATAGAAAACAGAAAGAGGCTACCACTATTCAGAGAGTCTGTGCATCTGTATACCTTTTCCGCCTTCACCACATCTTTAACACGTGCTTTATCTTCATGATACTGAAAAAGTCCAGAAAAACCAAAGCAATAAGCTTGGGAATCATAAAGGTGCCAAGACTACATAAATTTTGTTAAAAAAATAAATAAAGATGTAAATGGCAAACTGGCAGTGCTAAGAGTACTATCACGTGTGCACAAGGAAAATAACTAGCATCCTTTACATCTAAACAAAGTAACACGAACACATTCTAAAAGCAGGTCAATGTAGATGCATAACAGACGTGCCCACAGGCATCTAAGAGCACTTTACGAATTTCTCTACGTACACAGGCCCTTCAAATTACAAAATTACTAGCCCTGCACACATTTTAAAAGCATGTCAAGAAGATCCATGCATGCTCCAATATCTGCAAGAGCACTGGGAACATTTCATCGGTACATTTATTCCAAATTTTTGGATTTCACAGAGGGGACCTTACTCAATCCCATTAATCAGAAGGTTAAGAAAATATTCAAACGCTTTTTCAGAATCTAAAGAAAGAACAGACATATCTGAACCACAGCTAAACCAATTAAACAAATGAACCAAAATATGTAGCTTACAAAAATTTGCTACGATTTAAAACAAATGTTTACAGAAAAGTACTACTGGACCGTACGGAGGAACAGAATATATTTACTGAGAGGTATTTATCCTCTCATCTCTAGTTCATTATGCCGATACAAAAAAGATCTTCTGCATATCAGGAGATCAAGTGAAGACCTATACGCATATTCAAGAACTGACACATTCTTGTCAAATAGCAGCATTCACATCCCACAAGATTCAGGTAAATTAGGTTTGACTATACCTGATTTTCCAATTCTTCAAAAACATCCTCAAACAAATCCTTCGGCCTGGATCCAGAAGTGTTCAGGGCAAGATCCTGATAAGCCGAAGTATCCTTGACCTGCATGGCAAAAGGTGAAACATATTATCTGATATGACTCTTTTAGACCCATCCATTACATTACCTAATCCAGACATCAGATAAGTATTCATCATACACCGGACAATACTATACCTTCTGACAGTAATCACGCCAGTTAGTTTTAGCTGTGAGAATCCCGGAAGCCACATGTTCTGCCAATAAATTGCGAAAAGCATCTCGATTTTTCCGCTCAGCACGTCTCATTTCTTCTCTCTCTACCTTCTTCAGCTCTTCTTCCTCTCTCTCTAAATCACGGATATATTCCTGCCATAACACCATAGTTAGTAATTAGAACCATGTGAAAAGCCCACCTTTGGTTACAAGCAAATATTTTACCTGGTAGATCTCCAAACGATCAATTTTGTCTAGACGCGAACACCTTTCATCATCTTCCAAGAGATCTTGAACTTTCCTCCACTGGCTATCAACCTAAAGAGATTTAAAAATAAAAAATAAATAAAAATAAAGGATGAATGGTTTTGCAATGGTAAAGAAAGAATAGAAGATGCATGTGTTAATAACTACCTTGACGAAACCGCAAGTTTCCAGATATTGCCTATACTCTAGCCTATTTCGGCGATGCTCCTCCTGGGCTTTGGCTCTTTCCTGAATACGAAGACAATTGTTATCATATCTAACACATGGGTGCATTTCCTAACGAGAAATAATAATTTCATATGAAGAGTGACAGAATCCGGGTACCCTTTTCTGAAGATCCACCAAGTAACTTCGAAAGAGATCCTCACGGTCCGCTTCTCTTTCAACTGCTTTAAAACGTTCATCGTCTTCAAACATTGTTACTGCTTTGCTGTGTAGAAGAAATTCTTACATTAGAAGCTATCCATAATAAGTGGATAATGTTCACAGGCAGAAAACTAACAAACCTCCATCTTGTTGATGATGTAAGTTCTTCGGATTCCTGTGAAGAAGTTCACAGAAAGTTTAAGTCAATACTAAAATCAAGTAAAAACTAAACCATAAGGCAAAACAGGCAATTGGGAAAAGAAAATTACATAGAGATTTTGAAACTAGAAAAAGAAAAGAACACACATGGGCTATGATCCACCAATGAAATTGCACATAATTGCATTTTGACACTTCATACTGTGAAAAACATGAAATGGATTTGCTAGTCCATGAACCTCTTGGAGTTCAACCAGACTTCTGAGATTAAGTCATACCACAAAATTTCACTTTTTAAACATTATCAGCTACAATGAAACAAAATGTTCATGACATTTCTTCATAATAGAAAAGGCCAAGTTCTTCAGCAAAAATTTATACTAGGCCTAACAGGCAGCAAGCAACTTACTTCCAACATTTTTGTAAATTCTTCTTTTGCTTTTCTCTGCCTCAGACGCCTCTCCTCTGCTTCTATTTTTTTCCTTTGCATCAAGTACTGTAAATCACACATAACAACAGGAAGGAATCAGAAAGGAAGAAACATCAAGAATAAGGCATGAAACACTGAGAAATTAGACAACCACAAACATAAGGGTCTCAAGAATATACCTCATTGAATGCCTGTTTCCTTTCACCAAGAGTTTTCAGAGCACCATATCTTCTATCATTGATGATTACTCGCATCGCCTAACCAATTCCAAGTTCAAGTAAGTGATAAAGGTTTCTGCTTAAAAAAATACGAGTAAACTAAAAAGAATAAAAACATTACCTGCTCCCAAGTCCAGTCAGCCTCAACATTTGCAGACTCTAGCAGTGCTTTAAAAGCAATTTTGGCTTCCTGAAAACAAAGACAAATAAGTTGTCATACAGAACAGAAGGGTTATAGGCCAGAAACTAAAAGAGCTCTCAATTTTGCACCTGTTTACTGGCATACAGGAAAGGTTCATCATCTGATGGTTTCTCCTCTGCCGTTGCAACATCAGCTTTTCTAGTAACAATTGTGTCCTTCTTTACATCCTAGTAAAACAAAATAAATTCAACTTACATATATAAATCTATCATCCTTAAAATAATGAAAATAGATATTGGAATATAACTATTTAACAATAAATTAAGTGAGACGCTTTTGATGACAAAATGACAAAGCAGTGATAAATATTAATTATCAAAATCCATGCTCCAGTTTGAACACAATCTCACACTTCATTAGCAGATACAAGCAAGAATTTTGTATTTTCAGATAAAACCAAAAAAAAAAAAAAAAAACTGTAGATCGTACCTCACTATCCAAAGCTGAAGCTTCAGCTTTTGAACTTTCCATGACATGTGAAACATTATTCTCGACAAGCAGCACTCCCAAGCTTTTTGGAGTAGCAGCAAGCGCTAATGTTTCACCAACAGACGACCCTGCACTTGTCTGCTGCGCTGTTAAAACTGCTGGTGATCCTGAAATGGCCATAGCCGGAGAAGTAATAGAAGTAGCAATAGGTGTGACTGGAACTGGACTAGATGTTACATCAATCATCATTGAGGAAATAACTGAGTTGACAGCTGGGGATTGTTGTTCCACAGAGGGTGTCGCAGCAGCTGGTGCAGTGACATCTAAATGTCCTTCCTGTGCAGCCTTTTCAGCTTGTTCACGAGCCAACTGTTGCATATGTTAAAGTGCTTAGTGCAACTAATCAAGTGGGGGCAACAATGGCACAATAAGAGAGAGTTGGAAAATAACCTTTAGTTCCTCTGGAATTGTCCATTTAGACTGCTTTGTCTCCTTATTGTAGTAATACCTGGAAAGGCAAATCTTATCTCCATTATAGAAGCCCAAAAGTTACACGAAAAAGCAAACTTGCTAGAGAAACAAAACAAAACCCATGGACAAAAAGATGCAATTGTAACATTGTTTCAATAAAAAAGAATATACAGATATAACGCACTTTCTACCCTCTGCGGTGGTAAATTCTTTCCAAACAGTTGATGCATCAGCCCTCTGCAAAGCAAGAAAAAAAATCAAATAAGATACAACACCAAAAGAAGGATCTAATGAAAGGTCCCAACATCATTTTAACATGTTCATCTAAAGCAGCTTAAAATACACACACACACACACACACACACACACACACAAAACAGATAAAGGCATGAAAAAGTGAACGCACAGTGGAAAAAAATCAAAATAGAAATATTTACAACGGACATGAAAAATAACAATATAAAGCAAAAAAAAGGAGGTGGTACATTTTCAGCAGCAAAAGGATGGTTTTCCCTAAAAAAAAATTGAAAAGTTTGAGCCTGTCAACATCCACTCAGATTAATTTTCCACTTTCACATCAAGACATGGCACTCTCTTAACTCAATATACTAAAAACCTTAAACACTGAACAAAACTAAGCATTCTTAGCTTCTCTTCTGGAATTGATACAACTTAATGTTACAACCGAGAAAAGAAGAGAAGCATTATATAGATGTCCAGTCGAAAAAGGTAATGGCCTAAAGAAAAGGAAAAGGGTTCACCAAATAGAACTACATTAGATGGAATGATCACAAAATTCTTTGAAAGAGAAGTGCAGCAAGCTTAGCTGCAATATGCATATAAAGATTATCATCATACATCTATTCAGGCTTGTACCTGTTAACATTTGAGAGAATATTAGGCAAGTCATTTGGCAGAAGCTAATGGATCACACCAATGGCACATAATTAACTCACATAAAACCACGTGGTATATGTCGAACAAGAGCGATTGCCATCACTATGTGCTTAGAAAAAGAGTCATAACATAAAATAACTACCATGTGACAATTTTAATCACAAATACTACTAGGAAAAGGGAGATGCACCTGGAACTCTGAACTATTGTCATATTTGTTTGTTACTTCTAGTATCTGTGACATACAACGAAGATACTAGAAGTAACAAACCTCTAAAATATGTCAAACACAGATCTGCCTCAATAGGATAATAAGAGATTGAGATAAATTAAACCCAAACGTCTCCCAGAGTAGCAGGTAAGGAAAACTATCAGGCAACCCCCTGGAACCAGTGACAAATTAGACAATATGAATATTCATGCAGCAAATACACTCAAAAGAAAACCCCCACATTAAAAATGAAAAATAGCAAATTGTTGCCTGCCTCGAGAAAGTGAAACCTCCTTCAAAGTAGCATTAAGAGCAGTCGTTATATTCCCGGTACTTGCCATGACATCTACAAACCAGTGGGAAGAACATGCAAAGAAAAGGAGAATTGGCATAAAACAATTTTGAAAGTTTAAGGTCTGACTTAATTGTGAACTTCCAATTAGCACACATCCCAGAGCAAAATACAAAGCTTGCTCACTTTTGCTAGACAGGATTCCCAAACATTTTAATTATTCAACTCACCTCTAAAGGTGTCATAAGTTCAACGGGCTTCTCCCAACTGGACTGCTTCGTGACTTTATTGTGATAATATCTGCACATCATCAACAAAAGTAAATTCAAGAATAAAACTCCAGGTATTTAATCATTACAGGAATGTTAAACTGGTAAAGAAGGCTACATAGAGCCCAACAAGAACCAGGCTTAACAACTGAAATAATACAATTGATCAAGAAAAATCTCCCAAAACAACTAACCTTCTACCATCAGCAGCTTCAAACTCCTGCCAATCAGAAGGATTCTGTCGAACAATAATGGGAATGTTACCAGATAGTTCAACGTTATACAAATAAGAATAAGGTATGGTCGCGAAAACAAAATGACCATTAACTACAGAAGATTCAAAGCTGTGAATGTAAAGAAAACAGCATGTCGACCTCAGATAAGTTAGATCCACATTCTTTCCAGATTTTTCTACCAGACAACAATTTTGTAAGTTCTCCATGTCTCTGGAGAATATTAATGTGGCAAATATTTTCTAGAATACAAAGAGAAAAGTCATTTTTTTGGCATTTTACGGCAAATATCAGGGAAACAATTCAGCTCTCACTTTTTTGGAATCAGGTTGCTTAGAGGCATTTGACAATGCAACAGAGAAACCCACTGTTTCGAGCTTTTCTTTTCTTTTTCTAAATAATACATAGGCTAGCTTCCACTGCAATTAGATGTCCCATATTATCTTCAAAAAAGTCAATATGTTACTTAATATCCTTCTCACCTCATTCTGCCAAAGAGATGCATTGAGTAGTAGGATATAACTTATTTATTGGTGGCAAAATGTCCCAACCTTTACTTATCCTTTTTAGCAACAGTTAGTTGATTTAAAAACACTCCTAATATTTAGTTCACTATCGAATGATGAAGGCAAATGATATCAAATACTTCTGCTTCTTTCCTTAAAACAAAGCTGGAAAAAGTTTGGAGAAGGAAAAAGAACTCCCCCCAACTCATTACATTATCTACACCTATTATGTCATATCAGAAGTTTAGACACTATAAAGGCTCCTAGAGGGTAAGGGAAAAATAAAAAGGAAGGAAATATCCATTTCCATATGATGCCTCCCTTAAATGTCCCTTTCCTTCAATTAGCTTTCCCTGGTGATAATAAGGAAAGCTAATAAGGGAAAGTAACACTAACTTAACGCTATTCTAATCTAAAGCAAAAAACATAAGCCTGGTACAAAATAATTGCAAGGCTATGAATTCAGTTCAACGAACATAGGCACTAAGGAAAAGCAAACAGGCTTTACGATAGTACTAGATGTATGCTATCTCGATCTGTAGATAACACAAAACAACTATATTCTAATATAATACTTCATGCAAAGTTGTTTGGCACCCCTGGTAGCATAAAAGCAAGATCATCAGCATCGAGATTCCAAACCTCGTAATCATATCATAATCATTTCCGAATCTCGTACATGACAATAATAAACTGTTAAGGATAAATTCTGAGCGTATCAAACTAGGAAATGCAATTCCGGGGATAATCAGACCAAATTATGGTATTCCAGAAGTACCAAAATTATCAAGAGCCAAAAGGAAGAAAAAAATGTCAGAAATGTGGACTCAGAATTTTCTTAAAAGGGCAAAATATATTTTTGAGACGACCTATTTGATTTCATAAACCATAAGTAGAAGAACTATAAAGAAAAAGGCAAAAGATACTAACAGATACGGATGAAGAGGGTTGTGCAGTAGCTTCTTGTGGATGTGTGATAGTTGGAGCACTTTGACTCCCTTGATGCACCCAGGATTGACCACCCGTAGAAACAAGAGGTGCATGAACTTGTGAAGAATTATGATATTGCGATGGAACATTGATGCCATTTTGTGTTTGTCCAAAAGGAGATGGAGTGAACTGAAAGAATTACATAATCAATACAGTAGTATATAATAAAAAGAACGCAAAAGCTAGATTTATAATGACATTCGGACCGTGTATGACGATGAAAATGGAGCTCCTGGACCACCTAACCCGGACATATGATTAGGCCCCATGTGTTGAGCCTGTAGCGTGCCAGACGTAAGAGGCATACTCGACTGAATGAATGTACCAGAAACCGGCTGCGATGAAGGTGTAATGTTACCAGGCTGGCCAGGTCGGGGAGGAAACTGCTGCATAGGTTGAGAAAACTGTTGGGGCTGATTTTGACCGTTAGGCATTCCAACATTCTGTACGGCTCCAGCAGGACGAAACTGCTGAGCATTTGACACAGGAGGGAATGGTTGACCTTGGTGTCCTGGCATGCCCGGTCGAAACTGTAACAAACAACAAGTGTGCTCAACACAACTTGATCGCAGATATCACAAAATGTACTACGTGAAGAAAAAAAGATAGCAACATACTTGCATAGGATAAGGAGCACCGTAGCCTTGAGGAGGCATAGCTCCCATTAGATGAGGCCGAGGCGGCTGCAAAAAAATAGAGAACTAAGGTGACTAAAAAAACTTGGGTAAACAAGGCAAAATTATAGTTCTTAACTAGCTGAAACATGGATTTCCTTTTTCCCCTTCATTACAATCAGACTAAAAAACAATTGTTTCTTAGAAGGAACATGCTCCAATCCTTCGCCAAAACTAATTCCTAGCTATCCCAGCCAAAATTCTTGTTAAACAATACCGATTGATTATAACATGAACTGGGGGAGGAAAAAAAAATACCTGTGCACCAGAAGACTGGGGATTATTGGCCATCTCTGCACATGAAAATTGCTCAACAACTTGCTGCAAAATCAAAATTCAACGACACAATCAATACAGAGCGCGGGGAATCACAGAGAACTATCTCAATTCACATTCATAAACATCTGGCAAAACAAGTGATCAATATGAAAGCCCACATTAGGTGTCAAATAAAAGCAAAAAAAAACACCAAATTGAACTTCGGTTAAACCCTACAACCTCCAAATACACCCAAAAACACATAGAACAATGAATCATAACATAATTGCACAGGTGTAGGGATACGTTACCTGAAGTCTGAAGAAATCGAACAATCGCCGAAGATAAATTTGGTATATGAAATCGAAACGAAGCAGTTAGGCGCTAAAACGTAGAATAAACCCTATGAATGATATATATGTGGAAACGAGAAGTTAGTTAGCCCCGAGTCCCTGGCTTCTGCTGAGTCGATTAAACTCCGGATCAGGGGCGGCGATGATGTGAACTAACCCGGTTCCTTTTCTATATTTGTTATTGGGCTAATATTGGGTTCAATTGCAAACTTCGGGCTGAAATTGTTTGCCGTTCCTGAGGCCCAAGGTTTACTACCGCCTTTGGAAGTTATAAAAGGGGGTACATGTAATTTGATGAGAGTTTAGTAAGAAAAAATGTCGTTCCTACCCAAAACTTTGCCCCCATCGTCAATCATACCCAATAAATTTTCAGTTAGCCAACTTTATTCTAATGTTTGAAATTTTTGCCAATTTCGTCCGGCCATTTTCCGTCCAAATTAACGGATCCGTTAATTTTTTAATAAAATAATAAATTTAATTATAAAAATATCCCAATAATTTTTAAAAATTTTAAAAATAGCCCCTAAAATATATAAAAATAACAAAATAGTCCCTTTTAATTTTTTATTTTATTTTTCTCTATTTTGTTTCATTTCTCTCAACTACTTTTAATGACCATAAAAGTCTATTATATGAGTTTCAAAAAAATATTTATTTATTTTCAATCTCTATCGTAAAAATTAATATTTGTATAGTTGTAACACATGATTGTATTTATATAAGTATGTTAATTTTTTTAATAATATAGTTTAACAATAAAGACACTATTTTTCTGATTTATTTTATTCTTCCTAACATAAAAATTAAAAATATTGAAATGAAACTAATATTCCACATAAAAATATTAGCTCAAAGGGGGTACATGTATGTAATTTGATGAGAGTTTAGTATCTTAAATTGACTAATCATGATTTCCCACGGGTTGTATTTTAATTTAACATCTACTGTAGCCTTTTTGATTTTTAAAATAATTTTTTATACTATTAAACTGGTTGGCATTAACGACTTGAATACGGACTGGGAATTAGAATGACGTCAGACCCCCATATCGTAATATCCCAAAAAAATAAAAAATAGTTGAGAATGGTTTAGTAATACGTTAACGATATCCAGAGAATACCGTCGTTAAAATTGTAAAATTATTAGTGTAAAAAATTTGATATATTTAACTTGTGATAGTTTTTACTTATGATATTTGTAGTTTCATTCAATAACACGAATTTAAATGATGAGCATACCAAGGACTATAATGTAGACAGATACACATATATACATAGACTTATGAATCGATACACATAATAAATCTCGAAATTATAATCCTCTATCGAAAGACAATAACAAATGATGTAACTAGCCATATAAAATGTGGAAAATTTGCTTACTATGATTATAGAAAATAAAAAAATTCAAGACAAAAACAGATTAAGAAAAAAAAAAAAGAACACAGAGGAAGACCATAAGTCAAAAGAGATGGAGAAATGGAGAAAAACATTTATCACGTAGAGTAGTTACTAGTGCGAGTCGAGTGTAGCAGGTCCTTTGAATAAGATTTACGCGTGTGGTAGGGACGACCACATTCATTTATCATCATCTTCCCCTCACCCAAAATCTATGAAACGCTGTAAATGAAGAAGAAGACGAAGAATAAAAGCTATTTTTATAATAACTACTACATCTTTTGCAAGATTCCCTCTTTTCATGGCAGCTCAAACATCAACGTCTGCCATAAATTTCCATTTTGCAATTGCACTCATGTGGAACAAAGTTGACTTCAGAAAATCTTCACTGAACTGAATGCAAAAAAACATGGATAAAACTTTTATACTATAATGCTAAGCTCCCAAACCCCAACCCCCAAAAAAAAAGGCGGAAAATTTGATGATCAGTGTCCATGATCAAACCAACCCTTTTGAGTATATACAAAGATTCATTGAAGACTAATCATCTCTTTGATGATTTCTGTTCTAATTATATCATCTAAAATTGCATCAGCAATTTGCATTCCTACATCTTCCTTATCCTGCTCGAATTTACTACTCCATTCTGGAGCTGAAACTACCACTTGGGAGTGTACTAAACGGCTTGAGTTGGTTTCATTAATGGGCTCTTTGCTCCATAAAGATAAGTCTTGGCAAATGAGCTCCCATATTTGATCCGATCCCAGGATTTGTGGGCTCCGTAGGTCCGGCCCGGAATCCCTTTTCACCCTCTCCACAACTTCCCTGACGCAGTCAACCAGTAGCTTTTCGGTTTGTTTCAGTGTTTTCTTGTTTCGTGAGTATTGTGATGATGAAGATGAAGCATCTGACCTCCAGTAATAATATAGCTTCTCTGTTTTGTTGTATGCGTTAATTAAAGCAGAGTATTGAAATTTCCTTCTCCTGGAATCATCATTTTCTGCCCAAGTTCCAAAAAAAAATAAATAAAAATTTGAGTTTAAACAAGAACAGAGAAAGATGTGATATTTCATGTAAAAACTGCGGAAAAGATACATACTTTTATGAAGAAATGGCGATGCATGGCTGGATTCTGTATCTAAAACTGAAACTGGGCTAAGCTTAATATTGTTCCACCTTAACATCTCGTCTCCACCAACCTGAAAATGTTACAAAAAAAATAAAAATAAAAACACTGCATTTTAGTTATGTAACTCTTTGAAGAATGAAGAAAGAACTTGTTGGCACTATTGAGTCTGTCATAATTACCTCAATTTCAGAGGATTTGTAATAATCTGCAGTTTCCAATGTGGAATCCTTTCTTGATGAGTAATAATAAGCATCCTCTGCATCACTCTCTGAGCAAGAGTTGAAGATGGTTGCACTGCTTGCAGAGGAGTATATATCATCATCAGCAGTTTCTTTACTGCTTCTGCTTGAGATGCTAAAGCTTTTCTTCTCTCTTTTTCCATCAGTTGCATTGTTGGTTTTATGAGTATTGTTATTATCACCAACAGAATTCAGAAGTTTGCTGAATAAACCTCTGACCAACCTCGAACAATTCGGGATGAATGTTCTGTTTCTCTTCAGACCAGAGCTCACCGACCTTTTCAAAATTGCCCCGACATTGTACTCTGCAGATAATTTCCTCTTGGAATAACCTCTTTCAAGAAGATAAACCTCTAAGATGAAGGGTTCTTGTTGTTCTTGGAGAAATTCTCCAAGTTGTTTTGACATAATAGAAGACATATTGAAACTTGAAAATTGGTCAATTTTGTGACTTTTGGGCTAAATTTGGTTGTAAGCAAAACATGCCTTTTGAGTTTTGAGTTCAGAAGTGAGGAAGATAATAGCAGTGGATGAGGTTAAGGGGAAAAGAACCAGAAGAAAAATGGAGGGGATTTTGATCGGATATAATAAAGCAGAGAGGGACTCAAATTTTGAAGGGTGCAACAAATGAAGACAAATTAATAAAGATTTTGGAGTTTTGTATTCAAAGACAGACAGCAGTTAGTGTTGTTAGCAATAAAAAAATGTGTTACCTACCCTTACTGTCATGCAATCTTTGAAACCTCAAATGGCATCTTTTTTTTTTTTATTTTGCGCAGTTAAAGCTGTATAGCCTTGAGTTGGTTGGTTGGTGATCCCTTTCTACGTACACAGACATTCTCACAATCACACATGAAATCAAGTTCAAGTTCAAGTTCTTCTACCTAAAAGAAGAGAAAAAAAATGAAAGAACACCATTTCATTATAGTATTTAATTTTGTGTGACGGACCCATAAATTTTGTCTTGCTTTAAAAGCAAAGTTATTACTTATTACAACATTTAAAGCAAAGTTAATAAACCAAAAACGATGTGTGACCATACCCTTAAACAATGATGGATTAAACCGTCATATGAATGATGCATGATTATTGAGTAACAAAGTGAGACAGATAATCTGATTTACGTTAAAATAGTGGCAAGTAGGTTAGAAAATTGTTGTCCAAGTGTTGATGATGAATATTGAAGATGTAAACAAAATGGAGGAAAGGGGGTTAAACCACCGCATTGTTTTGTTTGGTTTGTGCCATGGGAGTAAATATGCATGTGCACCAAACCTCAAAGTTCGCTTTCATGTCCCCTTCATCTTCGACTCGAATTCTTTGTCAATTTAGGTGTCACGTATTAAGCCGAGATAAATAATATAAAGTATTTTCATGACAAGAAGTTAGAAATGCATTAATTATTTGAATGATTCTGGATGATGACGATGCGTCTGTGAAAGGGGTATGGTCCTAACTCCTGAATAGATAGATGGAGAAAGACAAAACATGAATTGCATTTCCGTGCAAAAGTTTCTTCAATCATCCTAGATATTAGATAGTCTTTGAAAAAAACTTAACAAAAATAGAGCACAATTTGTGTAAACAACTATTTGTTTGTTACAACAAAATGTTTGACTTTAATAATAATGTCAAAGCATATTTTGTTGAATAAATAAATACTACTTTTGTCCTATAATTATTGTTCAGTTTGAGTTTTTATTTCTAGTTCAAATCGTATTATAAGTGAAATCTCAAACTGGACAATAATTTTGGGACAAAGGGAGTAACAGTTAGGCAAAAGGATTCTAATTAATCAATCAATAGACTGCAATTAGAGAAGTGTCTGAAAGACCTAATTCTATAGTTTATATTTAAATTTGGAATAGTAATCACGACATAATTTTAAATCGAATACATGCATATATACGTGTAATGATTCAAACGCTGAACGTTTAAACTGATCCAATATTTTTTCCATTTGAAGCAAACTAGCTTCGTGTACTTGAATAGCCTTTAATAGAGGGTCGTGTGGGATGTTTGGTGATTGAAGTTTGAAAGATTCAACTTGATTTGGGGACAGAAAGTTGCATGGAACCATAATGACTATATGAGCTCTACAGATGTATTGTTCTGAGAAGTATCATATATTTGGTTTCGTGTGGTCTCCGTCACCCATACTGGAGGGTTTATCCTTAGCATTCAGATGTGGGAAACACTGAAATGGGAGGACCATTTGGTGCTACTCAAGCTTTTCTGTGATTTAACTCCTAGTACGATTCATCTACTTCGCGCCATTTTCAAATTACAACGAGAGTAAAAAAAAAGGGAACCCTAAGGAACCGACACCCTTTGAATCCAATCTTCTAATGTTTACTCAACTAAGCTATAATAACTTGTACAAAAAAAAAAAAAAAAAAAAAACTAAGTTTAACAATGTGAAAAAGAAAAAAAAAGTATTAACCGATCTTTATATATATATATATATATATTTGGTCTTAAAAGAAGATTTGTTTCTTTTACTGTTATAATTTGACAAACAAGATTATTGTTCCGCGACAATGGGAGTAATGTGATTATGGTGCGTGTTAAATGTTCTGAAAGATGTGTGCATGTTATAAAACTGAGAATGACCAACTCTAACCAAAAGGTGCGGTGCCTCGTTTCATATTCTTTATGGGGGTATTCTACTATTGATATGAAAATTAATTGATAGATATGTGTCCATTTAAAGAGGCCAACATCAAGGATGAACAACACCTTTTTCTGTTTTTTTGTGGCAAAAAACATTCTCTGAGACAAGAAAAACAAATAAAACGCCTGGTTAATATAAAGGAGGGCCGATCGAAGGAGCAGGCTGAGTGAAAAAAGGCCATCAATATTTATGGGCACCGAAGCTGATATTGTCTTCTAGTTAGTACCACAGTCTATTTCTTTGCGAAATGGTCCAAAACACACATTTAAATGTAGTAGTCCCTTACTGCCTGCAGACTCTGCACGACGATGATTACAGCTTTTTTTAGAAGGTCTATGGCTATTGATATTTTTGTCCTTTATTTGCATCATCTCACAATAGTATAAAGTAGTTCTCAATTTTATCATGTGTGGTGCAGAATCATGAAAATGACTAAGGGTGCATCGAAATTTTATTACAATTTACCACGATGATGTTCAGTAAAAAATAGTCAGCGGGAAAAAACATTTTTCTTTTGTCGAGTAATTAGGTATAGAAATTACTCCCCCATCTTAATTTTAAAAGTCCACTTTGTTCCATCTAAAAAAGAGTCCATTTTATTTTGTTGCAGTGAAATATAATAATTCGACAAATGAGCCGGAGGGTGCAATAAAATCTCAGAATCATTGCTGGTAGAATAGGATTTACAGAATCCTTCAGCTTAAGTGCGTTGATGAAGTTGAAATTGATGGATTTGCCTAAGTAGCACAAGCTTTATATAGTACATCAACTTTAGTGCATTCTTTTTCTTCACAATAAACCCAGTTTACTAATATACACCCTTCAGTAATGGCTGAATTAATAAATAACAAGACAGCAGTATCGTAATTTTCATAGGTAACAGCGGAATCAGCTTAAGGATCCATGAGTTTTGGATACGGAAACTAGGTTCTCTGCCTGAAGTTCTCGACGGAAGATTGTAAATCACTTTGGACAGACACAAATGTTTCCCGCCTACATGAAAAAGCTAGGCTGAACTTTCTGACATTTTCTTCAAGATCTTTCCTCTTCTGTGCTTCAACTTTCAAATTCTGTATAGCCTTTTCTTTTTCTTCGGTAACAATTGCTAGCATTTGGGAAGACTTGGAGACCCTCGAAAGGAGGGAATCTTTCTCCTCTTTCAAAACATGGAGCTCCTTCTCAAGGCTATGAAATCTATCTTTAGCTATTTCCAGGAGCTGGTTGCTGTTGTTGAACTCTTTCTTCAAGTTCTTGTACTTTTCCTTGAAACTTTCCACTTCACTATCCAGTTTCTCTTTCCAGGAAGCAATTTCTTCTCCCAAAGTTCGGCCCTTGATCACATTCAGAAACCAAACAATGAATAAGATGAACAAACCTACCTTAGTTGCCAAGACTTCCATCCGTTTTCCTGAGCATGTATTACTAAGTGGAGACAACTATCAACCGAAGAAAAGAGAAAAGGCTATGCAGCATAAAGGGCACTGGAGCTTTAATAACTTAAATAATTTGTCTAATATTCTCTTTTCTGATTAATTTACATTCGTTGATTAATTATTGAACCTATAGTTGTATCTTTCTGGTAGTCTTGTTGGAGTTCTTTATTACCTTCCTAATACCCATGTGAAAACAGATACCAAGATAACCAGAAAGCACAGAAGGAATAATCAGAGTAGAAATGTAGAATAGATTAAAGAATATGGCTGAATATTCAAGTATAAATATTTTGGATGAAAATTATATGTCATTGCTAACTATAGAAGAGAAGCCACATACATCACAATTTATCAAAACCAAAAAGCTAAAACTACTGACAGTTAGAAAATTTGACATATCTCATTACTCCATTACTAGTTCATAGAAGACCTATATCGCGGCAAGTGGAGTTTCTATCTGGTAGTTGGTAAGAAATGAAAAATTATATGTTGAACATTCTGGTACTTGCCCCTAAAGTTTAGTAACAAGCAAGCCAGTGATTGAATTTGATATATACTTCAAGAACTTTCAGAATACTGAATTCCAAGAGCTTATTATACAACTTATAATCAATGTAAATAACAAAAAGAATATTGGCAAGTTAAATTTTGATACTGGAAACCAAGCAGCTACCTTGTTTTTGAAGCCGTATGGCGGACTACTCAAATTATCGCCATCATGAAATGATGCATCAGGTACAACAATGGATGAGATTGTGCTTTTCAGCTTCTCGCAGAGGTGATTGCATTGTTTATTGAACAATGATTTGTCAGTGGAGAATCTATCACCCTTTATAGGATTAGCGAAGTGAGATTCCAATGTTGAGAAGAGGCAAGTACCAATGTCTTTTGTATCAGAAAGTAATTTTGCCGTAGTACACTTCTCGTCAGCTACAAAGCTCTGTCCATATTCGAAAAGAGAAGAAGCTACAAGTTTAGCCGACATTCGTAACCAAGTTATTACTTATGTAATTTACATGGATGTTACCTGTAGAACAGATAGAACATCTTCATATATATTTTTGCAATCCACAATTGACGCACACATCCTTTGAGGAATTTCGTGAATATCACTTGCCTCTTTTTGCAGCACTGCCACCTCTCTGATTAACTGGTTGTTCAATGATATCTGTTCTGCTTGCTGTCTCTGGAAATTGCATTGAGTCGTTAGATTGAAATTTCATGAAGTTTATTCGAGTCAGTAGGCAAGGTACACTAAGATTATGGAGCTGACTTTCATAACCTCATTCGAGCATAATTCTAAATGAGAATAAATGGTTTTACTGCTGATGATTAATAACCACATGTTTTGACAGGCAACCAAGATTCAGTTACTTTCTACTGTAAAATATACTGATGCTCATGCATGACTTCTTGAGGGTAATTTCTTCGTGGTTCATAGATTAAAATCCAGACAATGATTTGCTCGTCAAAGATTATATAATCAGATGAAAGTTTTCCAACCTTGAGATCATCTCTCTCTTTCGAAACTACGGCTAGCTGTCTTCGGAGACTTTGAATCTCTTGCTTGTACTCCTCAGTAGAAGACTCCTGCAAGGTATTCGTGAATCTGATCAACCAACGGAAACACAAAGGCACTAGATCTGAAGGGATATGATAATTTTGCGTAAATAAAAGTGAATAAGCCAGTGAAGCATAAGGATCATGGAATTTACTTCTGATGGACATGATTGAACCTTTCTTGCAGGAGTTTGAAGGGAATCAAGATCAGCTATGTAGCCTTTATTCATTTTCATCCATGTGTCTTCATCAGCAAAATCATTTAATGTATCTGGGAGGGGACTGCACTCAGGTTGATTTGAGTAGTGTGAACGACTAACAACGAAGGACTTGGGAAGTGCCTTAAAACATGGTGTACTAAAAGCATCGCCTTCACTGAATCTGTTGTTCACACTGCTTTCTTCATTCGGACTTACTTTGGTATATTCCTGTGTCATACAATAATTACTGAAAGCCACTTCTAAATCATGTTCAGTGAAAAGGGATAAAGTATGACTACAGAAGTTCCACTCCCAAATAGAACTGCACACATCATAACTGACAGAATACGTTATGCCATACTATCACCCTTCCATTTTCATAACAGCTCTTTTCTGTCAGAAAATAGTTGGATGCCAATAAGAACACCAATAACTTCAGTTAGGAGAAAATGTGTTCGAGATAAAGTATTGGAATTCTTTTGAGACAAAGTTACAGACATGGATCAACAATGTGTTCAGAGATGATTTCTTATGTTTATAGAAAGACCGGTGACAATGTTTATGAAGGAGTACCGGTGGGTGATCACTAGTTCAAAAGGAACTGCCTTCAGAACTTAAAACTAGTGGATGCATTTCTACAAAAGAGGACAGAGGTGGTAAACAATTGCAGGAGAAAACAAACTTGTTAAAGAGCTCCTTCTCAAACACTCTGTTCGAACAACTTTGAATGCAGTTGGCTGAAGAAAGTTAAAATGCTAACATTTCAGAAATGAAAGGTAGCGGATAAGAACTCTACCTGCCCAGAACCCCTGCTTGACCTAGAAAAGGTTTCAAGACTGCTAAGAGTTTCAATTTTCATCTCCTGCTCCCTGATACATTGATCCCTTTCTCTTTGTGACCTTCTCTCCTCCTCCAGTTCCCTAGCAAGCTTTTCATGTTCCAGCTCGTACTGAGAAAATGATCATTTCAGGCCATGAGTGGTGAACCTCGTGATGAAAGTTTGAAACTAAAAGACACAATTACCTTCAACATATCATTCCGAAGTTTCAAAATCTCTTGCTCCAGCACCTCAGCTCTTGATCCCTAGAAAATGACATCATCAAATATAAAATTGATTTGTCCTGTGGTGGATAAAGTAAAAAGACTTCAAAATACATGGTTATCACCTGAAGTTTCATGCGCAGTTCTTCTATCTCTAATTTTTGTCGCTTCAACAATGCAGCATCTGTCAATATCTACACCGAAACCAACTTTTAGTTCTCATCCTCGTGCATCCATAGAGACGGTCACTAAAGTGATCACTATCATTTTCTACTACAATGTTGTTTCTTTTCAGCATAGAATCTATTGTGTACAAGTTTCTTATCTGGTTATTACAGGAAATAGAAAAGCTATATAAGCATCACTAGTTGAGGCACATAAGCTACAATTTTTGCCAGATGCGTGGATTCATTTAGGCATCAGAATAATATTTTAGAGCATTCACCATAAACATAGAAAGATCAAAACCTTTAGCCTATTTTTCCCAACTCAGAGTTTCATTTCTCGGGTAAAATTTAACTCCAAGTCAGTCCTAACATGCCAGTTGATCAGCCAAAACAAGATATGCAGAAATCTAAATATTGACTTCCTGGGAGTTTTTAAAATTCTATACTAGCATTACTTGAACAAATAGAAGCAACTGAAAGTAAATTGATCATTCTAAATCTCCAATACTAAAAAACAAGCAGCACGAGTCATAATTTTCAAGCAACTTCTTGAATACACTTTCTTACAGAAAACGCCCATTGTTCCATACTCCAATATTTGATCAGGGTAAAATCAAATATCATCAAGGTCAAAAGCAAGTAAAGGATATTTGAATTAGTAAAGGATACCTCATTCACTTGAACACAGTTGGTTATGCGTTTTGCTCTACTGGCAAACTGAAGTGTTCCTTTAGTTTCCTCAATGTGTATCTAGACACATCAAACAATAAATTACATATAGAAGTATGATTTCCTTGGATTATTGAAAAGAAGCAAAATTTCTGGCTACCTCTTCAGGAGCAAGTGTACAAATTATTGAAGTTTTGGCATTTCCACCAAGTGCAGGTTGAAGAATGCGTGTGAGCTTACTATCCCGATAAGGAATGTGTCCCCTGTATTATAATTAAGATCAGAAACTTTGACCACAGAAAGGCAGAAGTATGAAATTGTAATCACTCGACGCAACAATTACCTTTGCTTTCCACCTTCACTTAATTTGTTTATCACATTACCAAGAATCAATAAACTCTTGTTAATATGCTTTCCTTCCTTCAAACGAACACCGTCAGCTCCGGTCTTTGTAATTCTCTCAGACCCAGCTAAATCCACTAAATTCTAGCATTGACAAAGGAAAATACCACATGGAAATTTCAGTACAAAAGCTTATATAATTGTTGAGTTTCTGACAGCAGTTCTGAAACCTGGAATGTTATTAGATGGGTTCAATTTTGTGGACAAGCTTCTTGCAAGATCTAGTCATTTTAATAACATGGTGTACACTAATCATTCTAAATCCTTGGCAACTTTCAAACCGGAATTTCAATTAAAGGAGCAGCAGATTTATAGATTGAACATACCAAGACAGAGACACGAATAACATCATCAGAAATTGAAGCATCACCAGAACCAGTTTCCTTCCCTTTGCTTTCAATTACCTGGTTCACACAATTGTTTTAGTGAATAACTAAAAGCTGAGGAAGTCTAACTTAGTGAATGGCATGAAGGGTAATTTGAGGAGAAAGCTGAGTTACCATTCTGAATATAGTATGAGATCTACTACTTCTGACATTCATGTTAGTCTCTCCAAAATGCCTATTGACTGCACACAACATTCTGAAATATGTGAGAAGCTGTAAAGCAAAACAAGAGAGGATATACTTTATACAGTGATTTTTCATTTTCAGAACCTTCTCCGCGTTGTAGAAGCCCAAGCACTTGCTCAGCGCTACTAACGACTTCTTCCCTAAGTCCCGCAACAAAGACTCCGCGCTGCAAAGCGATATGCAAAACCAGCATTATAAGCAGAAGAGAGCTTCATGGAAGCATACACTTTCCCCTTTTGATATCTTACCTCTAAACTCTCGTGAATTGGCAATTTTTGATTTTCCACAGCCAGCAGATCATTGATTTCCTCATTATAAATCTCCATGTAGGAAACTCTAATCAGAAACTCTCTATCTGTTCTCTGAGAATTGAAAGAACATCATCACTAAAAAGATGCCACGATAATGAATTTGGCAATTCAGACCAAATAACATAGCCTGTACCATCTTTGTTTCCTCAAATATATCTTTCACAGCTCGGTGGATAATTCCTGGATCACTATCACAACCATTCATCGTATAAGTTTTCCCACTACTGGTCTGTCCATATGCAAATGCAGTTCCTGCAAATTAAATTTTTCTAACTACTAATGAATTGTTGACAATAAAATCGAATGATGAAAACTGTATCTACCACAGGAAATTACAACGACAAGCCTTTCGTGGCTAAATATAGAGAAGTCTGCAATTCCTCAGCACTGGATTAACATAAACTAAATCAAGACCTTTACTATCTACAAAGATTCATCTCTTATCTTATTTATTGATCAACATCTAGCAATTAAGCTGCGCATCCAACTAATAAATTGAAATTAAGTTATTTTCAGTATGAGATTGGAGTAATTGACATCCTACTCAAGTTATATAGCTCAAATAATTCAAAATAAAGTTCATATAGTATACCATTGAAGCCCTCGACAGCAGCATGAATGATGTCCCTTGTCAGAAGCTCATAAACCCTAGCATTTGTGGAGTCCTGATCAAACACATGATCTACAAAATTGAAACAAATTTATCAGCGTATCAGTGTCTAAATGGATGAACACAAGGTGAAACTGAATCTTCTATCGAAAATTCAAACTGATGCAGTATATAGCTCGAATTACAGTACCAAAAGCGTAGGACAGCCCAGAAATTGGGGTGCCTAGAGCTCTGTAAAGTGAGATACGATTTTCTTCCACTTTCCAGAAAGCACCACCGCCATTAGAGCTCTCTTCATTCACCGCTGGCCTCACTCTTACGGCGACGCAAATTTTCTCCATCTGCTCTCTTGCTCTGTCTCTGTCTCTCTCTCTCTCTCTCACAGACACACAGTGAGACAAAGAATGACAAAAACTACTTGATTTGTGTGGGCGGGCTCTCTTGTCCGTAAGGGCGTAGACGTTGCGATTTTGAAATAAAGCTGTTTTACTGAAATACCCTTGATTCGCGTGTACTTATTTTGTGGACTAGCACGCTGGCCCAAAGAATGACAACTGATACAGACTTTGGTTCTTTAAAATTTGATTTCAAATACAGGCCCAATTTTGTAGTTTCTATCCATACATGAAGCGTAAATACTATAACTTCAAAAAGAGGGGAACTTTTTATACATAAATAAAAAAAAATAATGATACATACAGGAAAAGAAATGTCAAGAAAAAATGACAAGAATTGTTCATAGACATCCGTTTCTAATACTTTTCATTTGGAGTTTAAACATTTAAGATTAGGGCATAATTTAGATGATTGAGAAATCATTCCTAGTAGGTTTTCCTTGTAATTTGTCCATGTATGTATCACTATTCTAAAAAAAGTACCTTTTGATATAATTTTTAATGTTACTTATATTACTACCCATGTCTCAAAAAAATAGTCTATATTGAGTTTTCATATTTATACTATTTTTGTATAAATTCCAAGACTCAAGGTGAACTACTTTTTGGGACAGAAAGAGTAAATTATATGTATAATTTATTTATTTATTGAATTGTAATTTCACTTAAGGAACGAATAATTATATTATTGAGTTAATTTAAGTTGTTATTTACTGTGTTTTATGTTACTCCCTCTTATCTTAATTATAAGACACATATCAACATTAAACTTAGTTCAAATTCTAGAATCGGAGTATGACTTAATGTAATCTTTCAAATCATTTACCAGAAATTGCTCACTTCTTCTTTTGCCTTCAAGAATGTTCTTCGCAACTAATAATCGAGGATGTCATGACCAGAGAATGCATGAGATAATGAGGAAGGCAAGTGACGAAGGCAAATCCCGATAGCGGTGAGTCAACGATCGCCTAGGACGGAGACCTGCAAAACAAGGGTTAGCACTCTGATGCCAAAGTCAGTATAGTGAGAGAAAATAATCAAAATACACACTTAGAGAGAGAAAGTAAGGAGTGTGAATTAACCCTTTGAAATAAATGTCTTGGGATATATATAGTACACTACTTAGGATGTGTCCAAAGAGGGACCCACGCAAGAGTCCAAGATTGTCATGGGCTTTGGGCCCTCCCTATGCGGCCCAGATATCCATATAGAACTCCCTTTTGAGCCTGAATTAGGAATGAGCACTATTAAGAGCCCCTGTTAAGCCCACAATTGGCTTATGTGATTTTGGGCTTGACACAACATTTCAAGAGCCCATTAGAAGGCCGATTAACATCAAAGATTTGATGATAAAGTTTTTGAATCTCTCAAGAGGGAAGCATCAACGGTTAACATGGAAGGGACGGTTCAGATCGCCCTGGGACTCCAACCGGTGTAATGATGGCATCATGGGAATCGAGGCGACTGTTCGCCTCCTTTAACAATGCTTATAAAAGGGGATAAGCAGACTCATTTGGAGGACTTTTCCTCTTTTGTTCCCACTTTCACTCTTCTCTTCTACATAATTACCTTTCGGGCGGCTTAGTCTGGCGATTCTTATGAGCGATCCGTTGTTCGAGGCCGATTTTTTAGGTTCGAACTGACGACGATCTTCCAATAATATTCCCCCTTTATTTTTGTACATCTCTTCCTTTGTTTACATCTTGAAACATGGGAGACAAGGAAATTACCAGGGTCAGAGATATACACAGCCTTCTTAGGAGGAAGGATTTAGAACAATTGGAGGAAAAGTTTAGCTTGATTGAAATTTAGCCGACCCTTTCGGAGGGGAGACAGCAGGCGAATACTCCTCCGCCCGGGAAGATTACGGTATATGTTAAATATTTCGAGTACGGCCTTCATCTCCCCGTCCTTCCTCTAATTCGACAGATTTTAGATGCCTACGAGCTCCCTCTGGCACAGCTAACTCCGAACTTCATTACTTCGGTGTTGGCATTGATTCAAGTATGCCATAAGGTGGGGGTCGTCCATGATGTCTTTCTTTTCAGGTGTTTCCATAAATTGGTCCGCGGGCCAAAAAACTTCCCTAGTTGGCTTAGATTTATGAAAAACCAGAAGGGGCCAAAGAAGGAATTAGCTTCGCGGAGCGAAGCATCAAAGCCGTGGAAGAATGAATACAAGACGTGGAAGGTGGAGTATTTCTATGTTAACTCTTCCCTGGCTGACCTTCCTGCTTGGAATTACACCCTTGAAGACGAAAAGGTGTTGGATCCTTGGTCCGCGGCTGACAAGGGGAACATGATCAAGAGACAATCTGACCTCGACAACTTGGTGTCGTGGACAGAGCCATACAACTATCTAGATATAGCAACTTTGAGTGATGTTATTACTAATACAGAGCAAGGTATACTCTTCGACTAGTAATACTAATTTTCCTTTTGTTCTTCCCTTATAGGTAATTTGTAACTGATGGGAAGGAGAACTTCTTTTGGTACCCCTACAGAGTCTCGAGGTGCGTCGTCGTCTCAGCAAGATCCTCCTGCTTCCGGTGGAGAGAAGTTGGGGCCATCCACGGCCTCGCAGGACCCTCTACCCCCCACTCAACAGCCCCCAGCCGCGTTTGTATCCAAGTATAAGAGACCCGCTCCTCCGCCTTCTGAGGATGCTTTGAAGCGGGTCCGATTTGATGTGACAATTACCCCTATCTCCACGGTTGCATCGGAAGGGCTTGATCTCACCCCCGACAATCTCTTGAAGGAGACGTACACTGATAGGGATCCTCGTCCGTGGAAGGTGAGGTCAACGGACATTCCCAGGGGCACGAATTTTGTACAGTTCAACCCTCGCAAGGTGCCAGGTCTGGACATCAAAGAGGTTGACGCCCCAACCATTGACGACTGCATGAGACAGGTACCTTCTGCCTTCTAACATATTCATTCCTAAGTTGTCGAACACATTCTTGCGCGGTATTTATCAACTCTTCTTGTGCTCCAGGCTGCGCAGACCACGGCTTCCTTTGGTCGTCTCATTCAGAATTACGACGACCTCGTGTCAACACATGAGAATACGGTGGCCAAGCTCACCGAGGAGCTCCAGGGGGTCAGGTCCGAACTGGACAAGGTAAGGCAGGACGCCCAGTGGTAGAAAGACCAATCGGCGAACGTGACCAAGGCTCTTATGGAGAAAGCGAAGGCCTGCGAGGAGTCAGTGAAGAAGGTGAAGAAGGCCTGTATCCCCAAGACTTCCTTGGGAAAGTACATATTAGCAGCTCTCCGCGTCTATCTCCAGTCGAGCTCCTTTGCCAATGGGATCAACCAAGTGATGATTCCTGCCATCGAGATTGGGATGATGGAGGTGGCCCGGGAAATCAAGGACGCTCTGAAGGATAAGAAGGACATCAAGCCGATTTTGGCCAAGTACGCTGATCGACTCTCGGGTGGTGCATCCGCGGACATCCGTCTTTGTTTTATGGCAAGGAAGAACTTTCGAGACGCGGATTTGAGTGTCCACGACTTTTTCAAGGAGATGGATAAGGTTTTGCCCAACATAACCTCTCTTGTGGACCTCTTAAACACCTCAGTGGGGCCGTTCTTCATCTACAACATCCTGACAACGTAGGTTCTCCTGCTGAGATGCCCCCGGGTCCAGATGATGCCGCAGTCGACCATGAGCATCAGGACTCCTTGGATAGTCGCCAGCCGTCGGGAGACGCAAATGGGATGACTACTTCAGGGACCAAAACGACTGAGTCCTCACAGGGTGGTTTTGAAGACGTGGAGGTGAGCACCGAGTAATTTATAGACGGTGTAATAGAATGTTGTAGGTTTCCTAGTCGGAGCTCTTTTCGGGCCTCGACTTTTATGAATGAAATTTGTTTCTATCTTCTTATTCTTTTGATTGAATTTTCTCAATTATTTACTCTAAATTGCAATAAGGGTCTGGCATCGATCTTCATGGATGTAGGGATACCTAACACCTAAGGTCGACATCGGAGTACCTACTGGTTCGACCCCAACCGATGTTCCATCCACTTCTGGGAATGCAAGTATTCCTTACATCCATATTACACTTCCCGAGCCCCATTTCGACCCGGATAACTATCCATATTATTCGGCCATAGGGAAGGTTTTAGTTGAATCATCTTTTCAAAAGAAAAGAGAATGATTGTCGACTCTGGAGGCGACTAAAAAGATCATTTCTGTTTTAGGAGCCGAGGTCTCCAATCTCCGTCGACTCAACAAGGACCAAGAACGGTATTGGGAAGACCATCTCAAAAATGCATAAAGATGGACAATTTAAGCAACCAGAGGCTTGTGGAGGTCGAGGCTAAGCTTCGTAAGCAAAAGAGGAATAATGGCCGAATGACGCCAGATCCGGAAGATTTCCTACCCCGGACTTATTACGAAAGCGTCCTTTCTTATCTCCGAAAGGCATATGCCTTGGTTTCGGCGGAGTAGGTCGTCTGAGAAGATCAACAGTCTAAGAGATTACACGGACCGTGTTTTATCGGCCTTATAGCTAGTTGTCTCCGATCTTATAGAATTGGGAGGCACGTTCAATCCGGAGACGCAATGGCGAGATGGTTGCGAAGCGATGAAAGACGTGCCCGTTTCTCCGATTGCTGAAGCCGAGAAAAAGATATATGAGGACGATGCCTTATTCTATGGATTAGGTCGCGCCCACTAGTATAGTTAGTATTGGGGATCGTTGTTGCTTATTTTTGTTCGTCGGTTCGAGGTGTATTTTGGAGTCCAACTTCCAGTTGTAAATTTTGCAATGAAAATCCCAAGATTCTAACTGTTTATATTTATCAAGTATTTTTGGATGCTTTGGTTCGACTATCTGTATCGGACGACGGTGTAGGAGTATATATTTGTGAGGGATGTGTGTTCGGACATTATGTGTACGGACATTACGTTCGCTCACGCTTCTTTATATATTTGTGAGGGATATGTGTTCGGACATTACGTGTACGGACATTAAGTTCGCTCACGCTTCTTTCCCCCGAGTCTTATACCGTCGTTCCGTGGCCGAGTACCTTTATTAACCCTTTAAGGGGTTATGTGCAATAGTTTGTCTTGTTGAGTCCAAGATAGTCTTTTTGGACAAAAGCGTCTGCCTGTGGCTGGTCATTGGTCGTCAACCACTCGTGGGGTCATCCGACTCATTGAGTCCAAGACAGGCTTTTTTTTGGACAAGGGCATCGGCCTGTGGTTGGTCACCGGTCGTCGACCACTCATGGGGTCGTCCGACTTGTTGAGTCCAAGACAGTCTTTTTTAGACGAAGGTACTGGCCTGTGGCCGGTCACCCGTCGTCGACCACTTGTGGGGTCATCCGACTTATTGAGTCCAAGACAATCTTTTTTTGGATGAAGTCGCCGGCTTGTGACCGGTCACCGGTCGTCGACCACTTGTGGGGTCGTCCGACTTGTTGAGTCCAAGACTGTCTTTTTTGGATGAGGGCACCGGCTTGTGGCCGGTCACCAATCGTCGACCACTCGTTGGGTCGTCCTACTTGTTGAGTCCAAGACAGTCTTTTTTGGACGAGGGCGTCGGCCTGTAGCTGGTTACCGGTCGTCGACCACTCGTGGGGTCTTCCGACTTGTTGAGTCCAAGACAGTCTTTTTTAGACGAAGGCACCGGCCTATGGCCGGTCACCAGTCGTCGACCACTCGTGGGGTCGTCCGACTTGTTGTCTCTGTGCTCAACATATTTTTGGGAAGGGTAGATACTTATATTATCGATCAAGTCATACTATCAAGAGTACAAGAGGTGGAGCCTTCCCTATGTTTTGCCGTAAAAAAGTTAACTAATACAAAAGAGTGTTCCCTTGTACAAGGGTGACACGTGAAACTTCTTAAGGTTTTGGATGTTCCACCATCGGGGTAGGAGGACAGGGTCATCATGACACATCTGCAACCTGTAACTTCCCGAGGGAGAAACTTCCACGACCTTATACGGACCTTCCCAATTTGGAGAGAGCTTTCCTGCAGGTAATGCATGGCTTACATTGTTCCTTCAGAGGACAAGGTCGTCGACAGCAAGGTCCCGATGCTGAACTCGCGCATTATAATACTTCATTTGCTGCTGCTTATAGCGAGCTTCGTAGGCCTTGGCACAATCCCTCCTCTCGTCCAAGAAGTCCAAGCAGAGTCAGGTAAGGTCATCGTTCTCTTCTTCGATGAAGTTCACCGTACGCAGACTGGGCACTTCAATTTCAGCAGGTATGACTGCTTCCACTCCATAAACGAAGGACAAGGGGGTGGCCCCGGTCGCGGTGCGCATAGTAGTTTGGATAGCCCACAGGACATGGGGTACTTCGTCAACCTATCCACCCCCGACCTTTTCTAGGCGCTTCTTGATACCTCTTAGTATGGCCCTACTGATGTTCTCTGCCAGTCTGTTGGCCTGAGGGTGACCCACAGCCGCGAACCTCCGCTCGTTGTTCATCTCCTCGCACCATTGTCGGAAGGTTCCGGACTCGAATTGGGTCCCATTGTCAGAAATAAGCACCTTCGGGATTCTAAACCGACAAACAATGTACTTCCAGAAAAATTGGGTCACTGCTTTCCTTGAAGTCGATGCTAGGGGTTTGGCTTTGACCCGCTTAGAAAAGTAGTCGATAGCAACGGCAAGATGGCAAACCTTCCCAGGGGCCATAGTGAAAGGTCCGAGGATGTCGATCCCCTACTTTTAAAATGGCCAGGGACTGTCAATGGGGACCATTTCATGCTGAGGGAGTCGAGGAATGGGGGCATGCTTCTGACACTGAGGACATTTTAAGACGAGTTTGTAATAGTCTTGAGCCATGGTCGGCCAATAGTAACCGGTCCTCAAGAGTCTTTTTGACAAGTTTCTAGCTCCCAAATATGCCCCACAAGCCCCTTCATGCATGCTTCAAATCAACAGCTCTGTCTCTATAGGGGATACACAACGGTACATAGGTGAAAAGTAGCTATGCTTATATAGGATACCGTCTTTGAGCACATACTTTGGCGCTTTAAGACATACTTTCCCGGCTTCTTTAAGGTCTTCTGGCAATGTTCCGTCCTTCAAGTAACGAATAAAGGGGGTCATCCAACATTCAGCCTCCTCCTCTTCCACAGCTAGGACTTCTTCGACCTCGACACTGGGTCGAGGAAGAGTCTCAACAAGTACTCGCTGGGTAAGGTGGGCGAAGGCGGAAGAGGCGAGTTTGCTGAGTGCGTCAGACCTTTTATTCTGCGACCGGAGCACGAACTGAATCTTGAATTGGATAACTGGCCTACCAACCTTCGAACTTCATCCAGGTACTTCTGTAGTGACGCCTCGTGAACTTTGTATAGCTTCAGCACATGGTTAACAACGACCAGGGAGTCTTTATAAACAAAAACTGAGGAGGCCTTCATCTCAAGGACCAGTTTAAGTCCGGCTATGAGAGCCTCGTACTCGGCCTTGCTGTTGGTGGTGGGAAACTCCAACCGAAGGGCATAAGTGATCTCCGATCCGTTAGGGTCGACTAGGATGAGACCAGCCCCCGACTCAGAACAAGCTGATGACCCGTCAACATAAAGTTGCCAGACACCTACCAGGGGTTCCGCGGTTTCATCTCTTGGGGTCTCTTCTCTGGGGACTTCTACCAAAAAGTCGACCAGGGCCTGTGCTTTAATGGCGGTCCTTGGCTCGTACTTGAGGTCGTGCTCACCCAATTCGATTGCCCATTTCGTCATCCTTCCGGAGATCCCCGACTTCCTTAGTACCTGCTGTATCGGCTGATCCGTTTGGTCCCGTATAGTGTGGGCCTGGAAGTATGGCCTTAGTTTTTCAGGCCGCGACCACCAGGCAATAGACCACCTTTTCAACCAAGGTGTATCTAGTTTCGGCTCCATGCGAGGCCTTGTTGACGAAGTAGACCAGCGACTGCTTATCTTTCAAATCACGGACGAGAACTGCGCTCAAGGTGGTCTCTCCTACGGCCAAGTACAGAGACAAGAACTCCCCCGACTTGGGAGTTGTAAGGGTAGAGAGAGACTTTAAGTGCTCCTTCAGCTGGGAGAAGGCCAACCGACATTCGTCGTCCCACTCAAAAGACTTGGATTTTTGCAACACTTTAAAAAAGGGGAGACCCTTCTCTGCGGCTTTGGAGAGGAAACGTCCCAACGCTGCCATACATCTAGTTAACTTCTGGACTTCTTTCATAGACCGCGGTTCTCTCATGTCGGGGACGGTCTTCACCTGGCTGGGATCCACGTCCATTCCTCACTGAGAAACCATCACTATAAGGAACTTTTCTGATCCTACGCAAAAAATGCATTTCTTTGGGTTCAGCTTTATGTTGACCTGGTGTAAAGTTTTGAAGGTTTCCTTGAGGTTTTCAACCACATCTGCCAACCGGGCGCTCTTAACTACCATGTCATCAACATAGATTTCCATGTTTCGCCCCATCTGCGTCTGAAACACGTTGTTTTCTATCCTTTGGTAAGTAGCCCCGGCGTTCTTCAGACTGAAAGGCATCTTCTCTTAGCAGTATATGCCGTGATCGGCAATGAACACCATCTTCTCTGCATCTTCCTTGGCCATCAAGATTTGGTGGTATCCTTTGTATGCATCGAGGAAACACAAAACAGGGTACCTAACTATAGCGTCGATTTTCTGTTCAATGGCAGGCAAGGGGTAGCAATCTTTTGGACAATGCTTGTTCAAGTCGGTGAAATCCACACACATCCTCCACGATAGGTGGGGCTTCTTCACCATCACTGGATTAGCCAGCCAAGTTGGGTTGAGAATCTCCCGGACTACAAAGGCGGCTAATAGCTTGCGACCTCGGCATCAACAGCTGCACTTCTTTTGGGGGCTATCTTTCTCTTTCTCTATTGAATTGGATGAGCACCGGGGTCTACATTAAGTCTATGAATGCCTAGCTCGGTAGGGATTCCGGTTATGTCCGATGGCTCCTAAGCAAACACATCCTGGTACTCTAGGAGCAGGTGGATCACCATTTCGTGGAGGTTGGGTGGCAGTACCCGTCCCAGCTGTATAACACGTCTTTCTAGATTAGGGTTGATGGGGGACCACATCATACTCCCCACTGAGGAGAATTTCACCCTCTACAGGATCCTCCTTAGTCTGACCTCTAGTCAAGCGAGAAGTTGACCCTTGGACCATGTTCACCTCCGAACCTTTCAGCAGCAGTTCTGTTCCTTTCTTCATGGCGACGACCATACATCGCTTAGCCAGCTGTGGGTTTCCTCGAACCTCAGCTACTCTGCATGGAGTTGGGAATTTCATCACCAAATAATAAGGAGAGTAAACAGCCTTGGTTTTGTACATCCATGGTCGTCCAAGGATGATATTGAACACTGTGACCACATCCACCACTGTAGACCCAGCTTCTGAAAGCAGTCGTAGTACATGATGTCCACGGAGCTCCCATTATCCACATATACTCGTCGTACTTCTTGGTTGGCTAAAATTGCCTCAATTACCAATACGTCCGATCCCTCAGTCGCATTGAGAACGACGTCTTGGTCGGAGAAGGTAATTTCCTAGGTCGAAGACAGCCTACAACCATCGCTTTCTCTAGGAGGTCTTGGTCGTGCATCTCTTTTGAGGGCTGTCATACTTTGAACGGCTAGACAGGCCCCAAAGATAGCACCTATAGGAGTGGCCAAGATCTTCTGCGCTTGAGCTTCATTCTCGGCTTTCTT